GCTGTTAATTATTTTGGTATAACCGCACAAGGGGCTCCACTCTGAAAAAGATTGTGAAGTGCTTGCTCTGGAGGTTGTTTATGAATCCAGACTCTTTGAAATCGAGCTCAATGATCCCTCCACTTCAAATTTTGGTTGCAGCTTCTTACCCCAGGCTTACTGAATCTGAATCTGACAATTACGTCCGGCAAGTAAACTCCGCTTATATGTGTTGCCATAGATACATACAACACTGTGGTCTGTCTGGTGAGGTTTGGGTTGATTTTTGGACATGCAAACCGTTTTTGGTTGTGTGTCTTAATTCAAAGAAAAAATATCACGCTGTGTTTTTGTCCATTTAAGATGTAATGAAACTATGTTAATCAAACTTCATGTTTGAGAATAAATTTAATATCTTGAGCGTGACATACGAAACAAGTATCTATGCTACCAACCGAGGGAGGAGTTGAATTTGTTTATCTTTTTTCAAAATTGGAAAATTACCACCTGCCAAAAACTTCCTTTCACTTGAGAAATTACCCAAACTAATTTATGAGCAAGACTTTTATTTCATTTTTTTTTCTGCTGCTCTGAGTGTGATGCTTATTATAATTCAATTCAATTCAATGCAGTCTTGTAAAGCCCAAAATAACAATACTTATCTCAGAGGACTTAACAAAACTGTTGAATTCGCCAACACAGATCAGAGAATGAAACAGTTCAAACACAAAGATTAGAGAACACATAGGTTTTGGTCCATAGGGGGAGTTGACCAATGTCCATAAGTGTTGATAAATGTCTATACAGGACAGAGACAGACTCTTTTAGACAGAACGGGCAGAGTTATGTGTTTGTGCCCCCTCCTTCACTGCCTCTAGGACCCCTGTCAGAAGCGGTAGTCGCCATAGGCCCATGGGACCCATGGGCCATTGATGCTTGGTCAGGACTACCGGAGCTGGAGGATTTGCCAAGCATGTTTTTAGTGGTAGGGGAAAACGGAGCACCCGGAGGAAACATATGCAGATATGAGGAGAACAAACTCCACTCAGAAAGGCCATGTTCCGAGATTCAAACCCAGGACCTTCTTGCTGAGAAGCGAGAGTGCCGCCGGTGGCATAATAACATGAATGGATCTAAATACAACTCCAGGTCTGTTCTTTTATGAAGGAACAATGTTGTAACACGGCTAAAAGAGAGAAAAAGTCCAATTTGTATAATACATATTGGAATCAAAGACACCGTGTTCGAGTAAAGCGTTAACAGTCTGGCATGAGCAGTTACCAAGTTCACAAAGTAAACAAACCCAAATGGAGAACGTGAAACAAAACATCTTTGCACAAGCAATCGTTCAATATCCTCGACAGGAAATCGCGGCAGCACCACTATTGTTCTGTCCCTCAGAATACAAGCTGCTAAACTCAATACGAACGGTGCGTAGAATCTTAAATAACTCCGCACCACCAAAGTAGATCACTCCACATCTGTGTCGACGACAAGAGCCAAACAAGCCTCCAGCAAACCCCGCAGCATACCAAAACATATACTGTAAAGTTCTCAACTTTTGTCCTTTAAAGCGATTAAAGTTTGGTCCTAACTGAAACTACAATCTAAAATCTCCTTGCGCGGAAAATTAGATTCATTTTACAGCTATTTTATTGAGCATGATTACATACTTATCTTGTATTCATGCCTGAATGTGATAAGATAATTCTTTATTCGTCTCATAGTGGGGAAATTTCAATGTCATCGTTGTGCACATTACAGCGGAGAAAGAGAAGGAAATAAGAACACTCAGATTTGACACGTCAAACAGGATTTATTATTTAAGTTAATAAATAATACAATTAAAATAATAAGATGATAAAATAGAATTAAATAAAACTCTGGATCTATAATTGCACTTATATTTTATCACTACTCTATGTTGAAAGATATTGACAAATCCAACAACATTTCTGCTGAACCTGCTTCCATCACTGCCCAAATGTAAAGCGCGTCGTGACATGAGGCTGTATAAATAAAAAAATCTGACTTACTTCCGTCGTTACTTTAAAGTCTATTAAGTATTCAAACAAAGTCATTTCAAACGTAAAACTCAATTTGCAAAGGCCAAGAGTAAGAAAGCAATTACTGACTCAAACGTGAGTGCAGGAGAGGTTAGTGGCAACAGTTAATGGCATACCACTGTCCTTTTGAACCACAGACTCAATTAAAAACAGGGCAAATTATATATATATATATATATATATATATATATACGGCCTTCATGTCTCAGCTTCAGATGATTGAGAGAAAGTATCCAAATGTTTTAGACAAATAGAAATATGAAACAATGAATATGTCTTTCTTTAGGAGTTTGTCTCAAGCAAAAGTTTTTGTATTGTGTTTTATGATAATGGGTCTCCCCTATAACTAATGTATGTTTGCTATTCAAAGATGCAGTAAGTCCTTTTGTTAGCTTAGCCATACAGTAGCACCAACTCAAAACCACTCCCCTCGCCTCTCCACCAAACCAAACATCCAGCGTTTTATTTTCTTTGTCTCAACAGGGAGAGTGAGTGGCAAACGTGAAATTGGCATTTTCTGTTCAGCCATCTTAGGTTTTAGAAAATCCGATATTTCCGGTGCGCACACTTTACAGAGGGTAAACGCATCCCATTGGTTTATTTTTATCGGTCCGCTCCAAAATGATTTTTATATATTTTTAAAGACTACAGGCATCTGGTCAATTCCATTACTATTTGAAAACACATGATAACCAGACTACTTTTAGGGTTTAGGGACGTTTTCCCACAATATTAAAAAAAAAAAATGCGTCTGGAAAAAATCACTGACTGCATCTTTAAGGTTCTACTGATGATGAAATGATTTATATTAAGTTGAAGTTGTTCCATTTCACCATTTGCCGTTAACACCACATTATAATATGCTTTAATCCCATGAAGCCTCTGGGCCTTTGTCAGGAGCAGTGGTCGCTCTAGTGCAGGCCCCGGGGACTCGTCTCCAGTTGTTGATGCTCAGCTTTGACAGGACTTATTTATACAAACATTACATCTGAGGAAGCGGCTTTAATCATCAAAGATGCCAACACGTGAACATAGATAGATTTAGATTTATTCGAGCTTACACATTTACAATTGTCTTTTAAACATGTCCATGCATTGTTACATGCATTTACATGAAACAGAAAGTCATGTGAGTCATAATAAAACAAAACATATACCAGAAACGTCTTAAAGGGAGTGAGAAGAAGTGAACTTACTAAACATAAACATGTGAACGCGTAACAACTACGACATGTTATTGTATCTTTTATTCATGTAACAGGGACTGCAAATAAAAACTTTCTGTCGAGCTAAAGCCTGGTCCAGAACATCTCTTTGAGCTCAATGTGCACTGTCGCTTCAAATAATGAAATAAAAATGCAGTTCTGTGTGTTAGAATGTCATTTGAATTGTTTTATCTCTCCTGTAAGTGTTGTTATATAGGTTTCTTATAAAAGTTTAATTTGCTTTTCTATTTCTTTGGTTTAGAATAGTTTTGTAAATTACATTAGTAATATTTTTTGTTTTCTCCAAAAGAAAGTATTTGTTATTACACCTTCATACATCGGTTTTATTTTGTAATTTTGTTATCGCGAGAACTGGGGTTTACAAGGGGCCCTCAGGTAGACAGGCAGACGCTCTCTCGTGCTCAAAGGCATCAGAGCGAGAGCCACTTTCACAGTGAGAAAGCAACTGTATAAGGTATTTATTTGTATATGTACAATTTTATTGTGTGTTTACGTTCGTGTTTTTAATTGTATTATATGTTATGTAGAGCTGAAACGCACATATTGCTTTTCAAGTTACGTTAAAGACCTCCGACATGACAGGCGGTCACGAAGTAGCTATTTTTTAAGTTTCGTTTTTGTAAAGTAGACAAGAAGTTGTGTTTAATTGCATATTTTATTTTGTCCTGTAGTTTTCACGGCATTGAAAGACATTTATGACACTTGTAAGGTCAATAAATGAGCCCGTACTCGAGAATCCGTGTGCAGTGTTGTCATTGAGGAGCTATACTCTCCACTGTTTTTAAATACTTCATCTGTCCAGGGACAAATGATGTCAATGAGATATTTGGGTTAATTGTGGAACAATTATAGAAATGTGTGTAAAGAAACATTCTCCTTGTTGAACTTATACCAATTACAGTTATTGGGGTTAATATAGTCATTATTTTGAAGCACACAACACTGAGAGTAAAACAAATAACATCTCACTTCTACTTGAAAATGAGTGAAGCTGAACTCTAAACATTAAAAACATGTGTTTAAAAAAATATCTTCAAAATGTAAATAAACTAACTCCTGGTTGTTTCCAATACACTTTTTAATGGTACCATATCTTAGCAACTACCAGTAACCATGGGAATTCCTTGGTAACCATGGCTTCCAGCAGCGCTCTGGCTAATCATCGACAACACTTTAGTACCTGCTCGGCCAGGGTAAGCACCAGGGCCAAGCTGGTACTTAAGTACTAGTTAAACAGGGCAGGTAAGACCGCTCCCCGTCAGGGTAGAGTAGGGCTGGGGGAAATTGGGCGATAAGGTAACAGGGTGACCCATGTTCATAAATATCCTTTGCTATCTACACCTGCGGACTGCCCTCCCCAACCGTTCTGTAGCTTAGGTCCTGGATCTATAGTTCATCCGTCCGTGTGGAGTGGATCCCTCTCAATGTGGGTCTCCCCGAAGTGTCTCACTTTTCTCCCACTGGGTTTTAGAGTTGTTAGTGTCTAGTAAGGACTGTGGTGATGATCCAGGACACTAACATTCATGGACATTTGTCTCCCTATGGACCTATACATATATATTTTTTTATAACTGTTGATTCTCTGATCTGTGTTGGTAAATTCAATGGTTTTGTTAAGTCCTCTGAGATAACTTGTGATTTAGGGCTATACGAATGCACAATAAATTATTGAATTCTGAATCTGGCTACGACCATCAATAGGGAAACATTGCATGGAAATGATCTTAAATCATTCATTACCTTGAACTTTCTCTTGAATGGTCTCGTTATTGGTTTCCTTCAGTGACATGACTGCAAAGAGCAGATATTGCAATAATCGTGCATCAAGGTCAAGTTCCCGCCACATTTGAAGGTTTAGCTTACCTTTCTCAGAGATGCGGCTGGATTCTCTCTCCAAAGCCTGTTCCAGAGTCTCTTTGAGCTCGGCCAGTGCACCCCTCATGTTTTTGTACATCAGGTAAGTGAGCGCGTCCGTACTGGGCTGTTCCACGCTCTTCACAGGGAAATGAAGAGCCTTGGACTTCTGAAAAGTAACCAAATCAGCCGGAGTTTTGAATACTAAACAGACAACACACCTTCTGCGAGAGGCCTTTGAGGTCAAACAACAGAAAAACAGAATAGTGACACTTCAGTGCATTAAATGTGTCCATCTCATGTATAAGTGAAAAGTGTCCAGATGGTAGATTAATACTTAATGTTTATAATAAAAGTTCAACAAAATACTTTTATTCGCACTCAGGATAGCATGAGTCCTGGATCTACAGCCAGTCAGTCAGAGGAAGTGGATCCTGTCAATATGGGCCTCCCCAGGGCTTCACTTTTTTGATGCTTTTTTCATTCCTTGCCGATGCAGGAGGGTCTAAGGACAGTGATGATCCAGGACGTATCATTTCAATGTATTCTTGTATAACCCAAAATCACGACAGTTACCGCCGAGGCCTTTACACAACCATTTAATTCGCCAACACAGTTCAACACAAGAAATGCCATGATAAAAACACAGCCATCGGTCCATAAAGGGGCAGATGACCAAGGTCAATCATAGTCCATGGATTACATGTATCATTAATGGACAGTGGTCCTCCCGCACTATGGACCGAAGGCTTCTCTGTGTGTATTATTGCATTTCCTGTGTTGGGACTGTGATTCCCTGTGTGTCACTGATCAACAACATCAGACACGCCGAGGTCACCTGTATGAAGTGCACGTGGTCGTCAGTGTGGCTCAGCGTCTCCAGCTCGGCGCCGCTCCTCCGCAGCTCGCTCAGCTCCCTCTGGACCCTCTCCAGCTGCTGCTCTGCCTGCCCCACAGCCGCACGCTCGTGCGCCCTGAGCTGCTCCTTCAGCTGCTCGCTCTGCTTCTCGATGGAGCGCAGCAGTCTGGAGAAGACGCGCTCGCTCTCCTCCACCGTGGCGGCTGTGGAGTGCTGCAGACGCACAAACAGAAGCACAGAGCAGAGTTAGCAGGGTGGATGAGGCTGAAATCACACTTCTATCAGTCCTGGGAAGAAGACACTGGAGAAATGCTCATGTCCCATTTGGCATAAATAGGATCACTCAGATTGTGCAAAAGACACGTTTGCAAACATGTTAAAAGGTAAAAAATATAGTCTGCAGGATATAATTATGTACCAAAAAAAAGTGGCAATAGCGATGGTGGTTTTTTCAGTCCTAGTGCATTAGTGCAAGAAGGAGCGCCACCACTGGGCCTTTATCCCCACTGCTGTCAGACTGTAAAATAAGTTGCTCTGAGGGAGTCTTGCAGACTTTAGCTGCTGCTACTTGAGAAACTGACACTCAAGCACACAAAAAATGGCTGAAAGGCAAAGGATCTGTTTTCAGTAGTATAGAAGTCTGTTTCATCGGGCATTCATCCAGACTCAGTGAATCATTTCCCTTTATTTATCCAGGAAAGTCCCTCAGAGATTACAAAATCCCTTTTCAGGAGACCTGGTCCAAGAGAGAGGGAAGCTATTGTACATGTTTTTAATAAGGGTGCTCTGGTTTCCCCCTTTGGAACCTATGCAGACATGGGGAGAACATGTAATCTCAGAAAGTAAACGCATCGGACTGAACGTAAACTAGTATTGAATGTCGTGTACACAGAGGCAAACCTGCTGGTTCTTACTTAATTCTAATGTGACTAATTGTAAACAGATGTATCTATGCCATTTAAAATAAAATAAAAAACAGTCAGTTCAATCCCAAAAGAGACCCGTCTAGACAGTTACAAACCCAGATCCTGATACCCTGATGACAAACCAGTATTAGTCTTCAAGTGAGTCATTACCCAGTAATATGATGAGCGCTTCTCAAACTGTACCACCGACCTGGGAAATGGAATCCTCTGACGTTATTCCTCATGTATGTGTAGTTAAGAAATGAATGCCACAATTTGGACACATAAAAACACACGTTAGAAACTGGTAGATAACATCTGTCTGAGCAGTTTGAGAACCACGGATATAGATCATTTAAATCCCCCCAAAAACGTTGCATTTTCACACTTGTTAGCTCTGATCCCGTCTCATACGTGATAGCGGCGTAGTAAAGTCACCTTGATGTATTTGAATGGCGAATCGCAGCTCCTTCTCAGCCTCCTTCATTTTGCTGCATCGACTTCAAAGAGCTCTCCTGCAGCTTTCTCTGATGAACACAGATCACATCAGTCCGAGGGGTCAACGCGCTCACATCAACAAGACACATGCAAGAACAATGGACTGATGTCTGTGAGCACCACAGAGAAGTTGGGTGACAACTACGGTTACGTATGAACAGGGACACAAGCCTATGACGTCATTTTGTGCTAAATCAACATCTGAATACAGGGTCCTCGTGCATCCATTGTTGGAGATTGTTAATTGGGTAATTGGGCCTGACACCTGACCACTTCTGGCAGATACTGGGATCATAAGGGCGGGATGTAAGAAGTGTCCATGTATTGCAGAGCCATCACCGGGATCGGCGATAGAGACCCGCCATGTCCCTGTAGGACACACTGGAGATATGATGGAAGGTGAGGCGTGTCTGGTGTCGCGTCCCTGCATTGGGTGGGATGGACAATCCTCGACAGCCTACACCGACACCTATTCGGGCGATTCACCTAGTTTGACAGCACCAATCGGTTGGGACAGAAGGGGTACGGAGGATGCTGGATGCGGGTGCGGCCCCCTGGGGTACGTTGCTGATCCGGTACGCTGAGGGGTGGGAGACGATCCTAAACGAAACTAGATATCCGTGACTGGTCTATTGTCAGTCGTGAGTACCAATGTGGTTGGGATTTATCCGAGGGATACAGGCTCTCGTTGGGTGGTTGCAGGCGGGCGTAATTGTGCGGCTTGGTCTAAAATGTTTGTACTGACGAGTAATGCTAATCTAGCCAGTAGATAATTCCGGGTTTTTAGTAAATAGATATGGAAACTGCTGAGTGTTGTGTTTACGGAACCATGCCATTATGCAAATACAAAACTGTGCCTACCCATTAAAAAATATTTTTCCACCAAAAAAACCCCCCCCAACACAAAACCCCCAACCCCCCCCCCCCCCCCACACCCCCCCCCACACCCCCCCCAACACCCACCCCCCCCCCCCCCCCACCCCACCCCACCCCCACCACAAACCCCCCACACCCCACCCCCAACAACCCCCCCACCCCCCCCCCCCTCCCAAACCAAAACATACTACCCAACACTTCTTCCCCCCCCCATTCCCCCCCCCCCCCCCCCCCCCCTCCCCCCCTCCCCCACCCCCCCCCCCCCCCCCCCCCCCCCCCCCCCCCCCCCCCCCCCTCCCCCCCCCCCCCCCCTCCCCCCCCCCCCCCCCCCCCCCCCCCCCCCCCCCCCCTTCCCCCCCCCCCCCCCCCCCCCCCCCCCCCAACTCCCCCTACTTCTCCCCCCCCCCCACCACCAGTCTTTATTCGCCAAACACCCAAACCAAACACACCCCCCCCCCCCCCCCCCCCCCGCCCCCCCCGCCCCCTATGCCCCCAGCCCCCCCCCCCCCCACTCCTCCAGCCCCCAGCCCCCCCTCACCCACCTACCCCACCCCGTACTCCCCCACCGCCCCTTCCCCCCCTCCCCCCCGAGTCAGTCGCATGAGCTGACCAAGTGATTTTGGAAGAGACTCTAAAGCCAATCTAATTTTACTCTTGGATATGATTCTAATGAGACGTTATTTCTTAAAAGACCGCAAGGCAAACATCAAGATCTATTGATACTAAAGCCAAACCCACCACAATGTTCAACAAACTGGAATGCTATTCGGTCACTCATTCACAGAGGGAGTGTTGTGTGCACACCTAGGATCCATTCATCTTATTTGTTTCACATTTTGAGCTAAATAATAAAATTACCTGTAAACTACCTTTTGACCGACTAATCCAATGATGAGTTTCACCTGTATTACATCCTCATTAAGTATTTCAAATAAAATAACCATGGATTTGGACAACCATATTGAAAAATTCTTACTGATAATTTATGCAGGGTAAACCACCGAAATTCTTTAGAATGAGAATATATATTTTAGTCAAATCAAGCCTTAAATCGTTTGTCTCCAAACTCACATATAAAATAGTCATTGCTAAAAAATTGCATTGCAAAAAGATAATGGATTCTTTTATTACAGTTCCCAAACATGAATTCAATTTTCAAAACAAAGTTTTTTTTACAGTCTAAAGGCCCAGAGACACCTCATTTATAATATCCCAAGAACATTTTGTTGATCTGATAATCAGCAGAGGCCGAAGCCTCACAAAAGTGCCACTTGTTTGTGCTCCAAAGTGTGGATGTTGAGTTTGCATGTTCTCCTTGTGTCTGCATACATTGCCTCCACTAAAAACACATACATCCTGCAGCTCTGGTCCTGGACAAGCCGAGCATCAACATCTAGAGATGGGCCCTGAGAACACTACAGCAGCCACTGCTCCTGACAAAGGTCCTAGAGGCATTACAGGATGGGTCAAATGCAGAGGACACATTTCCCTAGAGATAACTAAGTGTATCTTGACCTCAACCAAGTTTAGATTTGCGTAGGTCCCACTGGGAGTAAACCGGGATCCAAGACACTTTGGAGGGACTGTCTCTCAGCTGGCCTGGGAACACTTCAGGATTCCCCCAGATGAGCTGGAGGTGGTGTGTGGATAGGGAAAATTAGGTCTCTGTTTTGACTGCTGCCCCCGCATCCCAACAACCAAGCAGAAGAACATTGATGGATGGATGCTGCTGCTAGCATGTACAGATGCCATTATCATAGATCTTTGATGCTAACATATTAAGCTTGCTCTAGGATACACAGTACTTTATATTTGCCTCTTATTTTGCCAAATGTGAAACTTTATACTCTATCATTATTTGTTCAAGATGGAGATTTTATACTTGGCCTTCGATGCTAGAGTTAGAGATTTTGAGTTCTTTAAATTAGTATAGCTATTGTTCATTTATTTTGTGCTGTGTACTTCTCATTCCTACTGTTCTATAACTTGTGATGCAAAACTGACATTTCCCCGCTGTAGAACAAATAAAGGATCTCTTAATCTTTACCTCAAATGGTATGATTTCCATGGTCGGCCATAACTTTCTAAGCAAACAAGTAGTTATCTATATGGGGTGCCGATTGTAAAAATTCTGTTAAAATTTTTTAGCTGAACATTTTTCTACATTTAGCTCACTTTCCTCACATTTAGCACATTTTCCTCACATTTAAGACATATCTATATCTAAATGTTATATCTATATCTAAATGTTAAATCCATATCTAAATGTTAAATCTAAATGTTATATCTATATCTAAATGTTATATCTATATCTAAATGTTATATCTATATCTAAATGTTATATCTATATCTAAATGTTATATCTAAATGTTATATCTAAATGTTATATCTATATCTAAATGTTATATCTATATCTAAATGTTATATCTAAATATTAAATGTTATATCTAAATATTAAATGTTATATCTAAATATTATATCTATATCTAAATGTTATATCTAAATGTTAAATCTAAATGTTAAATCTAAATGTTAAATCTAAATGTGTCGCCAAGTGTAAAGCTAAATATATAGAAACCACGCCCACTGCAGTGGCTTCAAATCCAGTGGGCCCGCCTTCCGTGCCGTGTGGTGAGAACCCTACAGGATTACACAGGAATCTCACGGGACTCCACGTGGCTTAGTTTACAGTGAATACACTCTGGCTCCAGCAAATAAGCAAGAATCTTCACAAAAATGCTAATTTTTTGCCGTGGCCAAGGACGATGGCGCCGGAGACCCAACATGCCTTGAGCCGTGACGTCGGTCCACGTGTATTCCTATGTTCAAAACACGCGGCACCGCCCCCACTCACCACACGGCACGGAAGGCGGGCCCACTGGATTTGAAGCCACTGCAGTGGGCGTGGTTTCTATATATTTAGCTTTACACTTGGCGACACATTTAGATTTAACATTTAGATTTAACATTTAGATTTAACATTTAGATTTAACATTTAGATATAGATATAACATTTAGATATAGATATAATATTTAGATATAACATTTAACATTTAGATATAGATATAATATTTAGATATAGATATAACATTTAGATGTAGATATAACATTTAGATATAGATATAACATTTAGATTTAACATTTAGATTTAACATTTAGATTTAACATTTAGATATAGATATAACATTTAGATATAGATATAACATTTAGATATAGATATAACATTTAGATTTAACATTTAGATTTAACATTTAGATTTAACATTTAGATTTAACATTTAGATTTAACATTTTAGATTTAACATTTAGATTTAACATTTAGATTTAACATTTAGATTTAACATTTAGATATAACATTTAGATATAACATTTAGATATAACATTTAGATATAACATTTAGATATAGATATAACATTTAGATATAGATATAACATTTAGATATAGATTTAACATTTAGATATAGATTTAACATTTAGATATAGATATGTCTTAAATGTGAGGAAAATGTGCTAAATGTGAGGAAAGTGAGCTAAATGTAGAAAAATGTTCAGCTAAAAAATTTTAACAGAATTTTTACAATCGGCACCCCATATATCTATCTCTATCTATATATATATATATATATATATATAGCACCTTTCACAGACCAGAGTCACAAAGTGGTTTACAATTGTTGGGGGCTTTCTTCCTGTCACTCCTATTGCACATGGAGCACCCAGAGAAAACCTACCCAGACACAGGGAGAACATGCAGAAACAACACTGTGCCATCGTTCCACAAATGCACCACAGCCAAGCCTCCTTCGCCACCATCACCCCGGGTCTATAGTGTCCATTACCTGCTGCGCGGCCCGCTCCTCCCCCAGCGGCACGTTGTCATGTCCCCTGTGCTTGTCCTTTACGCACAGCGCGCACACGGGCTGCTGCTCACCACGGCAGAACATCTTCATCATTTTGTCATTGTGCAGCGGACACAGTCTCTCCTTGAACTCCTCCGTGGCCGGGATCAGCTGGTGTCCCCGGGGAAAGCGCTCTTTGTGGGCTTTGAGATGCGCCGCGCAGAACGACCGAGCGCACGTCAAACAGGCTTTCACCGCTTGGCCCTTCCTCCCGGAGCACACGCTGCATCTCACCTCCCCGGGTTTGGTTTGTTTTGGCGTTGGAGGTCTGTGTTGTAGCTTCTCCAGAACTTCAGCCAGGACGGTGTTGCGACAGAGGAGGGGTTTGGGGTTGAAGACCTGCCTGCACTGCGGACAACTGAACTGGCCCTTCTGCTTTGGCCTGTTCCAGTAGTCCTCTATGCAGGTCAGGCAGTAGCTGTGCCCGCACGGGATGGTCACTGGGTCCCTCAACACCTCCAGACACACAGAGCAGCAGAACTGGTCTTGTTCCACAGAAATAGTCGTAGCTGCCATTTCTTCCTCCTCTTCTTCTTCCGACTGCAGCGCGATGAGATAAATATTGGCGCAGAGTTCTCACGCCAAACACAGGTGCAGTGAGGAGTGTCGAGTTTCACCTGCAGATTTTCAGCCAATCACAGAAGCGTACGGGACAGGAAATAGGCAGGACTGATCTGGGGATTTAAAGTAGTCAAGTCATCATTAAATGGCCCTAATCTGTCAAAAGGCATTAATAAACCATGGTCTTTTCGAATACTTCTTTAACTGATAAAAGCAGTTCAGCCGAGATATTCCAATTTCAAAACTGGATTTACAGCCCCTAAACCTTTCATGTCCCTCCCTCCACCGTTTTACCAGAAAGTCTGTGATCCAGGTTGCCAGAACTCACCGAGCTAATCTCACTGGTAAAATAACATGTGGCTGCAGTACTGAAAAAAGGTTTTGTTATGATTCTCATTAATGACAAAACAAGGAATAAAACCAGGATTTCTTTCAGGGCCTTTGTGAAAAATATGTTAGTTATAGATTTGTTATTGACAAATCTCTTGTCTCTTCAATTGTTATCGTCCCAGCGGGATTAGTCTACATATCTGGCAACCTGAGTCAGGGCCACTCTTCTGTACTTTCCTCAGTCTAATATTTACAGTCTATGTCTATAACGTGAGGACAAGTACACTACAGAGTCAGTTTAGTTTTGGAAGTTACCAGATCAAACTTATGTGTTGTAAAGCTGGGGTACTTGACTTTCAATCACATAAAATATAACTCTACTTAATTCCATCTGACTAGTTCCTCACTCACAAAACAGTTTTAGTTTTCACATCATTTATTTCTGCCTTCTCACATATTTAAATCAGCTTTTTCAGACACTGTTTACAAGCTTTTTCTGTTGGGACAAGAAGTGATGTGCCCCATTTTTTAGATTGTTTAGTGTACTGTCCAGATGTTTGGACATGTACCATGGATAGCTTCAAATAAACAAAATCCACAAAAGTCATAATCCACTGCTGTGAGACAGGGAGTGAGGGGGCTTCCAAGAGTCAAATCAGGGTAAAAAGAAGGACCACAGGAGAGCAGGAAACCAGGCACGACAGTCAGACAGATGAGCAGAACTTTCAAATATCTGCATTTCGCCTAATATCAGCTACGAGGGAAAAATATGTTGTTCAACCCAAACGAAGGAGTACTTTTTACTGTTCACGTTTACCGGCTGTGGCAGTTGCAGTGCTGGTGTGATTTAGGGATATTTATGTCTTAAGAATCAAACTGTAAAAGTACTTAGTATTAATAGTATTAATCACTCTCTCAATGTGGTTCTCCCCGAGGTTTCTCACTTTTTTTCCCACTGGGTTTTAGAGTTTTCCTTGTCGATGCAGGAGGGTCTGTTGGACAGTTAAAGGGTCTAACAAAAAGGACAGTGGTGATGATCCAGGACACTCGAACATTCTACAACATGTATGGACATTTATCAACCCCCCCCTTTGGATCAAAAGACTATGTGTCTTTGTGTTTGAACTGTTTGATTCTGTGATCTGCGTTGGCAAATTCAAAGGTTTTGTGAAATCCTCTGAGAAAACTACTGTTGTGATTCAGGGCTAAACAAGAATACATTGAATTGAAAAAGAATATAAAATAAGTATGATTTATAATTGTTTGTATAAGTGCATAAGTAAGCACCCTAAACCTCATGGAATCCCAGAACTTCCAGATACATTAAACAGATTCAGAATTTATGAAGCCGACGCTCATCGCTGCACCCTGCCAAAAACACGACTACAATTCAACAAAAGTGGCTATAAATACAAAATACATTTGGACGGACGATAGGAGTGATCCCAGTTTGAGTTACACATGTTATAAAACACACGCAGCGGACCGTGACCAATAATTCCGGACTCGAGGCAACATCTATCACAATTCTTTTATCACCGCCATTCATTACAAACATCTCATCAGGATTGCATAAAATCATATACAAGTTTTTGTTCTAAAAAAATACTTAAAAATATCTTGAATGCATAAAGGCAATAGTTTCAACACATTAGCGGTTTTAAGGCCGTTCACAAAATAAATTAAGTTAGAGTTAACTGATAATTAAAAAATAACCAAAGACAATCATACTTAAAAACAATATAGTTGAAAATACTGCCAAGCTTTGAAATGGAAGGCTCGGGCGTCTCTCTTTAGCACCCACAACACTCTAGCTACATTTCAATCCAATGCATGAATGTCCACGGATGAAAAAAAACAAAGTGTTATTTTCTCCTGGGATGGCTGCGGCGCTGGTGGTGCCTCTGTCGGGATCCCAGGGAAAGTTTGACAGAACCTGAAAACAACAAATTAGACTTTAGTTTGTGTCTGTGTCTCTGTGTGTCTGTAGGCAGGAGGATCAGAGGCACATGAGACACATTTAATGGATTTTATTAAACAAATGTGCACTTTTCCATTGTCATAAAATCTATCCATTGTCTCTTGCTCCGCCTGCTGTTTGTCCTCTGCATATACAGGTGAAACTTAGAATACGTTCATAAGTCCACTCACTTCTGTAATTCAATTTAGAATGTGAAACTAAAATATGACAATGGATCAATTTAAGTAATGATTTGGTAAACCACAGTTAAAAACATCCTAGGCTTGCCAAAGTGAAAAACAGCAACAATAATTTGATATTTTTGTATGTATTTTTGATGCTGTATTGTATCTGTAGTACTTTGAGGCTTAGTAGAAATGTATTATTATCAACAAAAACAACATGGGCAAAAAGTGAAACATTTGTGTGCATGCAAAAAAACAAAATACTTTTGTCTTGCTACGATAGACACTTCACACGTGGAAGTGTTTTGATAAGATAAGATTGGATTGATCTCACAATCTACCAATGTACATGTCACATGTGGCAGGAAATGTGCAAAAAAAGAAAAACATAAACATATTTAGTGTAGACATTTGCTGCATGAATATCACTTTTTTACAAATCAAATCATCAATTCTATCAAAAGTCAACAGTGAATTTTTCTTTCTTCATGTTTTTTTGGGAATGGCTTCTCTTTCAGATGATTTGAAGAATATTTTGTGCAACTTCCATATTAGTACATTAGTAGTTTTATAATCTTTTTGTTACCAACATTATTTTGAAGTGACATTAGGCCAAATAGCCTCTTACCTTGTGTACTGAAAACAAAATTGGAGACAGCCTGCGGGGGTGGGAGGAAGGGGTTGAGGGAGTTCACTTGGTGCTGGTCTAAACCGAATGGAAGATTCATCGCTAAAACAAAGAAACACAAATATAACGGTGAGAACAGTGTGAGAATGTACTCAAATTACCTTCAGGGTTTTTGTGTTGTCAGCACAAGTTTAGGAGGATGTCGTTAAACAGTTTGAAGAGGTCTGAAAATATAGAATAACTTTGCAGTGTCTGGTCTAAAGCCAACAGTATTAATGATAGTGAGGGTTGGCATTTTCAGTCTAAAGAAATACAAAAGCAACGCAGACTACAGTGCAAGCCTCATCTCTGTATGTGTTAGAGCCATAACTCAGTCTGCATTAAAATGTCTAAAAACCTACAGTAAATTTGTAACGTCCTAAAGATGTCATGATATTGTCTTGATATTCTCAATCGTATTTGTTTAGAGCTAAAGAGGACGGGACAAGACGGTAAGTATACGCATGTGCAGGCACAAGAATTGTATGTTTTACTTCGATAAAACCGATATAACCAGTGGAAATGGACCAGAGCTGGAGGATTTAACCTAGCATGCATGTTTTTAGTGGAAACCGGAGAACCAGGAGGAGAACCTACGCAACCTACGCAAGCACGGGGAAAACATGCAAACTCCACTCAGAAAGACCCCATTCCGACCGGGACTCAAACCCAGGACCTTCTTGCTGAGAGGTGAGAGTGCTATCCACTCAGCCAACGTGCCGCCCCATTTCGCCTACGTGTTTTGTGTAAAGAAGTGATTCAAAAAGCAGACACCCAATGGATGGCTACCCAGTCAATTAGAAGCAAAGACGATATGCCTTTTCCATAACAAGCAGCATTGATAACTTGCCTTGTACTGCTGCTCCTGCTGCTCCTGCTGCTGTGTCCTCCATAACAATAGGCTGAGTCTCCAGTGGCTCTGTGTTCACAGAACCCACGATCACTACATCTCTCACTGAAAACAGGATGAAGAGTGTCAAGATTATTTTAGTTCCGCTAGCGTCACATATAATCCAAACATCACCAATACAATAACATATTGACTTGGCCGACTCATCCGATTAACGAAAGAAAGTCACAACCCTCCCATACAAACTATTGCCCTCAGCATATTTTACTTAAACATCTCTTTGTGACATCCGCTCCTCTTGTTCTTGCCATGTTCAATGTTATTGTGATGTCACTGTGTCTGTCTGGTTTAAATGTTTGCTTGCTACAAAACCAATTTCCCCAAGTGGGACAATAAAGAGAACTGTGAACTTTGATATTATTCTTATGTCTCAAGTCCTTTCAACTGGCAAAGATGATGCATGTTTGTTTTACAACACGACTTCTTCTCTGTGACAGCTAAATCTGGACTGAGACACCTGCTCAGAATCTGCTCAAAAACAGTGTCTTTGGATGGACTCTACGAAACCGTGCATCATAACAATACTCTGCAGCTGGCGAAGAACATCATCTCTGACCCCAGCCATGTTCTGAACTCTGAATATGTGCCGTTACCATCAGGGCGCCAGTACTGTGTGCCTCGCTTTAATAAGGTCCATCAGTCCATCCTGAGACTAAATGAAGAGCTTAAATCTCAAATTGAAATGTGTCATCACAAGTGTGTCCTGTAAGTGTATGTGTTGACAATTTATGTGGAATGGAGCTGCTGAACTTCGCAAAACAAATCTATCTATAATTAGACCATGTGTACCGAAACATAGACTGTAAATATTATATATTGTACCGACAAGGAAGATGGGACAGTTTTTGTGTCATGTGGATTGGCCAGGATTTACAGACACTAAGATTTTTCAGCTAGCCCTCAACCTCAATTTGAAACCATAGGCTCTTTGAAATGTTGTGACATCACATGAACAACCCGGTCACATTATATTGGCTCTGAAAGTAACACGCAGACTTGAGCTAAAAGTCTAAAAGAGCAGTGGAAAAAAAAGTCATGGAGAGGAGTTATTGGCACTGTTTACCTTTCTCGTAGATGCTGACAAACCCGCTCTGGCACACCTCCTGAAGAAGCCCCTTGAAATCCGACACCGCGGTCATCACTGGACCAAACGTGAGGCTGGGATCAGTGGCAATGGGAGGCAGCACGGAGAGAACAGGGGGCGGGGCCACAGTCTGACAACTCTACAAGGACACAAAGTTATGGACAGGGATAAGACGTGATATCATGTGAGTTTCATATGTTACAGTTTACGTTTAGCTACAGTGTAAAAGCATATCTGTGGTCTGGAGCTTTTCTTATCTCATTAAAATGTTATCACATTTTCATCATTCACCCAGTCAGTAGAAGCGGGCAAGGTTCAGCAAAAGATTTGTCCCTTCAGCCATAGTTATTCTCTGTAATATTCATCTGTAATATAGTCCAAGACCGCGTCACAGTATTGCATGTGTATTGTTCTGTATTGTATTGTTGTATTTCCTTCTTCTGTGATTCTATCCAACTATCTATCATCTTAATGTAAAAAAAATCATAGTTTATTATCCAAATGTGTACATTTTGTAAATCATCAATGAAATTGGCATTATTCTTTAATCAGTATTAAAGGCACACCGCGGACTTTGTGACCTAAAGAGTTGACACATATGAGTTATTTTATATGAATACTTGGGCCAATATACAGCGCTTGACACTTGCAATGCTCCGAGCGGGGCTGCCCTCTTGAAATACCGCCCATGTAAGTTTCGAGCAGACGGACCGTCTGCCACCAGGTCACGTGACTTGGAAGAAAGACTTGCTTTACGGCTACAGGCGCTGATATACTCATGGAGCTAAGGCTTTTGCTACTCATTTTCCACCTGCTCGACTCCTGGTCATGGCTGAGGCAAGGAAAAATTTTAAACCTTCGGAGGAGGCTAAAAAGAGGAAACGCGAAAGGGATCGTGCTGTAAGCTGCATGTCTGTATGAGCGCTGCTCTTCACCTGGTTCCTGGATGTCATCGACCGCAACGATGTCATTCCACGCAGCACGAGCTAGACGCAGAACTCCCTCATCCAGGATATAGAAGTCCATGTGTGGTAGATTACTAATGCAGCGGTCTGGAGGCTGACCACAGCAGAGTCTCTCAATATCTGTAGGCATGTCTCTACAGTTTGAACACACACACCAGTGCATGCTGTCTGAATACACACTCAAAAGACACCGGCTGACTGTTTGACTTTTGCGACAGTGCTGAGTTGCTTGTGGCCACTAGGGGCGCTAAACGTGAAAGTTGCAGGTCTAGCGCCCCTAGTGGCCAAGAGTTACACGGTGTGCCTTTAACGTAAGTATTGAAAAATGTTAGTATTCTTGGGTTTCATTAAACTGGCCAGTAGGGGGCGAAAGAGCAGCGGTGGGACAACTCAGTTTTGCTCCCATTGAAAACCATGTAAATCTGTTGTCTGTCCAAATCAATTGTCTGTTTTGGAGTCAAAAGGCTCTCATCCTGTGCAGTTTACGGTCGTTGTAAGAGTCTTAATCGGGGTCACTCAATTCTAAGGGAGTACTAAAAAATATTTCTCAAAAGAGTCTTGATTTTGGGCATTTTTGGAAAGAAAAACAGAAGAAATTGCTGCGTTTCATTCGGGTGGCCTAAAGGGGGCACTTATCTGGGAAAGCCTTGATCCACCTCCCCCGCCTCATTCGAGTGATTTTTTCAAAGTGTCCTCCTTTATATGAGACCACAGTTGGAACAAGGGAGAAACTTTTGTCTTTCACTCTATTTGTGCGGTCACTACAACTGTACACCGCACAAAAAGATGACATTTTGACAGCTTTTGACAGCGCTTCTTCTTCTACTTTATCTCCGTGTATAAACCCGGCAGACTGCACCGCCAGGGTACATCACGTCCTGTCCTACGTTTGTTATTCGCGCCACTGCCCTGACGTCATATGAAACCCAAGAATTGTGACGTAACAGGAACCAGCGAGCATCTTAATATAGATTGGTTATATAATCAAAAGGTTCTCATAGTTTTACACAGAGCAGTGAGGTCTGGTACCTGCAGAAAGCTGATGTGGTCATCGGTTTGAGACAGTTTGTCCAGCTCGGCCTCGGTCTTCCTCAGTTCTGTGATTTCTTTCTGAATCTTGTCCAGGAGCTGCTCGGCCTGACTCACCGCCGTCTTCTCCTGCGCTTTGATCAACTCTCTCACCTCAAAACGCTTCAGCTCCATGGACCGGATCAGCTCAGTGAAAACAAGGTCTGTCTCCTCTGCTGCGGTGCGGGAAGAACGCTAGGGGGCGACCAAACATAATACAAAAATGAATTATGAATCAGTAACGCAAAGAGAGAGTACAATGTGTGTGTTTAGAAGCGTTTGTCTTACAGTTAGAGATGAAATGGCCTGTCTTAGTTCATGGGCCTCTCTTTCCTTTTGTTGGATTCTCAGCTGTGAGTTGTGTCTAATTTCCCCAATCTGCTTCTGCAAAGATGATAAGAAAAGCAGAGATGAAATAACAGAAAAGTAAAACATTATCTCCAAATGTATTGAGTTGATGCAAATCAAGATTGATCATGTTTCTATAACGTAGTGAGTACTCAAAGAAAACACACACAGTGGGTCCAAAGTTTCCTTAGTCATGATCAAGACAGGCCAAAGCCAAGAAACTTACAAAGTGAAAGTAACAGTGATCTGTGGACAACTGAGCTACAGTTGGTAGAGCATTGGCCTTTGAGCCAGAAGGTCGTGGGTTTGAGCCCACCTCAAGACTTTTACCATCAACCCCCACTGTCTACTGTCGTTGTGTCCTTGGCAAGACACTTAACCTCTGGGAACACCAGCCACAGTGGGGCGGCTGCGGCTGTAAAGTACCAAACTGCTGTTGTGTTCTTAGGCAAGACACTTCTACCCCATTGCCTAGAATGAGTGTGGTGTGTGTGTGAATGGTTGATGGTGGTCGGAGGGGCCGATGGCACATACTGTACTGGTTGCCTCGCTTCTGTCAGTGTGCCCCAGGGCAGCGTCTTTGAGTGTCCAAAAAAGCGCAATATAAAACTGATGCATTATTATTATTATTATTAAAGGCAATTGCAGTCACAACAATAATATAGCCTTATGTTTAACTATATTTTTGTAAATAAACTGTATCAAAGACTGCCCGTCGTACATTTACTTAATACATATGTATTCATTTTTAGACACTATACTTCCAAATAGTAGTAATGGTAAAATCTTTATGCTATTAATAATATATTCCCCTAACACAAATAACATGTACAATAAGTCTGAGTGTAACGAGTGAATGAATGGTGAAAGTGAGAGGCTTTGACTGGTGTGTGGAGTGACTGATAATTACTCATTGAACAAGAATGATGATGCGCTTTGTGTGACTTTGGTCTGTAAAAAGTGCTGTATAAAAAAGATGACTTACATATTTACTTAATATAATTCTTGGAAACCATTTCAAGTACCTCTCGGTTTGGAAACACTGCTTTAGAGAACCATTCTCATTGCTACTCACTTCAATCAACTGTAAAATTGTTTGGTATAGAGAGTAAGTAAATAAGTTATTTATATAGCGTCTTTCACAGATCAGAGTCATAAAGCGCTTTACAATTGTGGAGGGCATTTGTCTTCTCACTCCAGAGATGGGGGCGAGGTTGTCATACAGGAGGCACATACCAGACCTATTGTACATGTTTTAGTGGTAGGGAAAACCGGAGCACACGTAGGAAACCTGCGCAGACGTGGGGAGAACATGCAAACTCCACAGAGAAAGGCCTGATGTAGAATCGAACGTGTGCATGCAATGGTTTTGTCTCTGACTGATAACGTGTAAGTATAAAGTGCGTTATACACCTCTTTGCTGAGAAATACCTGCTTGTCTTGTATCTCCGCCTCTATAAGCACCGTGTCGTGGCCCTTGTGCTCGTCTGTGAGGCACAAGTAGCAGATGCACTGAGCGTCCGTACGGCAGAAGACCTCCAGCAGTTTATCATGCTTGGGACAGATCGTCTCCTGCAGATTTGGGGTCGCGGACACCAATTTGTGCTTCTTGAACGCAGCGGAGTCATAATGTGGCTTCAAGTGGAGTTCGCAATACGAAGCCAAACAAACCAAACAAGACTTCACAGCTTTGTTTTTCCTCCCGGGGCACACGTCGCACTCCACGTCCCCAGATTCTGCAATTTTACTTAGGGTTGAATTTGACTGCATCGCACACGCAGCAGCAGCAGCAGCGTTCGAAGAGCAAAGTCCATCTTGTAGCCTCGTTTTCTTGAATTTCTCCACCACGTCGGCTAACAGGGTGTTTCTCGCCAGGACAGGCCTCGGGTTGAAGCACTGCCTACACTGAGGGCACGCGAAGATTTCCAAGTATTCGTCCTGGTCCCAGTAGTTTCGGATGCAGATGGAGCAGTAGCTGTGTCCACACGGAATGGTCACCGGGTCTCTCAACACATCCAGACATATGGAACAGTTGAATTGGTCCTTGTCCAAAACTACCCCGGCCTGAGCCATGGTTTGGACTTTAAACGTCGACTGTGAAACCGGGCGAAAACCAAAACCGAAGCCCCCAGACTTCTCCTGACAGCTGCTGCTTTGTTTACAGGAAGCGAGGGGCGGGGCCGAGATACGTCACCGGAAGTACTACTGGAAGTTATAATTATACTTTCATATATATTTTACATTATTTATACTAATCAACATTTACAGACTATGAAATGTATTTGTATTTTTTTTCTATTTTTCTATGCCATTTAAAGCTGGGGTACCAGACTTTCAAACCACCAAGTCCCAGCAAGTCCCTCTCTCTCGAGACACAGCTTTAAATCAGCTTTTTCAGGCAAGAAAGAGTTTAATAGTGGACCACCCTCAATGAGCCGATTAGCCCACGCCAAATAGTGACTCACATGGCTATTTTTTCAGTTATGCAAAAGAGAATATACTTAATTTTATGAGAGAACCCGTTTAAGTCACAGACTCTGAGGAGCACAGGGACTGGCCTCATGCTCGTGTCCAGAGTCAGGACTAAAGATGGGGAGGCAGCATTTCACATTTATGCAGCTAAAATCTGGAGTACTCTTCCTGAAAATGTGAGACAGGCTTCTACTATAATGTTTTGATCCTGGTTAAAAGCAATTATGGTTTAGCTGTTCATAAAACGGAAGGATTGTATGTTTGCTCTTTTTTTAATGAACTGTGATACTGTACTATTTTAACGCCTTGCCTGGCTGTTTCTATCTTAATTTGTCAAGCACTTTAAGTTGACTCGTATATGTACTGTGCTTAACAAATAAACAAGTCATATTTATGGGAAAATAAAGTTTTAAATTGAATATATACCATGTGTATTGTTTTTGTTTGTTTATTACCAGGATGACCCGTTGATAAGTATTACCTCCACAGACCTCTGCCAGCGCGAGGGGAACTCACCTAGTCCTTACCCAGTATGTTTTATGGCTAAACTTAATAAGCATAATAGGTTATGGGCAGATTGGAAATGGAACAAGAAACAATGATTACGTAAAAGAGGAAATCTAGATCAGTCTGGATCCAGGATTTTCTTTATAAGAATGTAAACAAGAGTCCAAGAGTCTGCATTCTTTCTGTTATTCTCTCATTGTATTTTTTATATATAATAGACCCAGTAACAAGGTCTCACTGGTCTGCAAAATGTCAAGAGGAACGAGTTCATATAGGGATTAAAAAAAAAATAGGACAAACGTGAAATCCGTGGGAAAATAATGTGTAAAAACAAAGACGAAGACCAGAGAGGGGTCTAAACTGGTCGCCATATACCTACAGGATTTTCATTTGTAAATTTCCCCGTGTGATCTGCAACATCCTCCGAGATAAAAACCCTTACTTACAACAGTAGTTATTTTTTCAATTAAAAAAAGAGGACCCTTTTCCTCTTTGTTTTTCCAAGGTCTTACCGGTGTTTGAACAAATGACTCATTCTCATGTCAGAATGCATTTATTTTGAAATGCATATAAGCAAACACAAAACAATATAGTCTCTATGGTTCATAAAGCATCACAATAAATTCTGAATAATTTAGAATCAAAGATAAAGACAGTGTATACTTTGTAAGGTAAGTGCAACCGATACATATATAACATGACATGACATCCCGAAAACATAAACATACATTACTTTGGTCATCAATGTCAGTTTTGAGTTGTTAAAGGGAAGGACTTGACTTATGATTGTTCCTCTTTTTCCTTCAAGCTCTTTACATGTAAAACAAGTGAAGTCACCCACCCTTTAAATATCAAAACTTATGCAAAAAGCAAAAAACTGGTTCAAGTCCTTTACGAATAATATAACTTTTGTTCAAATTGCTGATGGTCAAGTTAAAATAGCTGTCTCACTGCCAACTCAAGTATTTTCAAGTATTGAGTATCCAACTAGTGGTCGGTAAAATTAAATATTGTGTCTTGTAAGCTTTAACTAATGCTAGCACTCAGGCACAGAATAGTTCAACACATGCACTGATTTAAACAGAATTATATGTTTTTACATGCTGCTAAAACTATTGAAAGTAGCTGCTCAACCACAGTGCAAACCTACAGCTATATAACGCAAAAAAATATCCCTTCAGCTCTCATTTCCTGTATAACAAAAATACATTGTCAGTAGGATTTCCTCAGCAGAGACTCCTTGTCTGTGAGTCTATATGTGCGTGCCAGAAATGAGTATAATTGAACACTACTTAAGGGCTCAAACGGTAACTGCAGCATCACTTGTTTTTTTCTTCCAGTCCACTCTCTGCGCGCAAAGCCTGGCTGCTGGTGGTGATGTAGCTGATCCAGTGTTTCAGGTCCTCAGGAAACTCGGGGCACTCGATCTAACAAAAGGAGAAACATTCACGTCATGAATTTCAAATGGAAAGCAATGACAAATAAAAACCAAAGGTGAACTAAACAATAGATTAAACATGTCATTTAGATTACCTCAGTATTTTGTCACTGAGGTCATTAAATTATTACTTAATTCCATTCTAAATCTAACTTTGCAATTGTGGACTTTACATCTAAAGCCCTAATGCGTAACTTTAGCCTAAACTTTACCCAAATGGGTGGAGTCTACTCTGCTCCTGTTGGGTATGATGGAAAACCTGCAGCCACAGCGGCCCTTTCTGGACCGGTTTGGACACCCCTGGAAAGGTAAGTAGATGAACATAATTCCAAGTTTTATGTTGACACAGAAATAAGTATAGAAGTATGTGTTTTTCTAACTGAGGAGGGCTTCACATTTGAGTACAAGATGGAAACATTGCTCTTTTGGCTGTTCCTCCGAGAAGTATGTTCCATAGAATGGGATTGTGTTCTTATTTGTGTGACACATAATATTAATATAATATAACACCTCAAGAAATTCAGTTGTATTAAAGATGGAAATGACCAAGAGTTCAGATGGAATTTCAAAACTGGCAACTGTACTTTTACTGTGAAGGCCAAATGATGAACAAAGCAAATATGTTATAATTGTTACTATATTTATTTTGAAGCAGATTTACTTTTTTAGTGGTCCATTTTCCCCCCAAAAGTTTATGATAGATTGTAATTATCTTTGGTAGTCAATTTTAGGGCCTATACATGAACAGTCCTTGGTGGAATGCTCAGTTCAGAGACTCACTAAGATTGCCCAACATTAGTAACCGGTAGTGAAGAAAGACCATTTTTGTCACTGTGATTAAATTGATAGATTTGTGTTTCACTTTATCATGCACCTTTAATTAACCTAAAATGTTTGTAGTCCAAGCCTCCTGTTTCTGTAAATAATCATTTTGATCCAAACCAGTTTTAGATATCAGCTTTCCTTAATGAACTATTATTTTGATAACAGATCAGTTGTTTGAATCCCAAAAAGTCAGGTTTGTACTGATTATTCCATTCTCTAATTACAGCAAGCTCTTCTCTCAAGCCTCTTACTAAAAACTGTGTTTGCTTTTGTGCTTGTGTGTACTGTACTGTTACTGCTTTTAGACCTCACCTTCTTCTTGCAGACACAGTCAATAATCTGCTCCGGACTGCTGCGCACCACGTTCTGCCTGCAGAGCATCACGGCCGACACAAAGCGGTCCTTTTTGGAAATGAACCGCTGCTCCAAGTAAAACGCCTTGTCGTCCCAGCCCAGCACTTTGGTACGGATCTCGAAGGCCTCGCGGAAATTCAACGAGCGCCTGTACCTTATAGTGGATGCTCCCACCACCATCTTGGCCCCGAGTTTACGAGACGCCATGAAGAAGCCGTTCATCATGTAGTGGTGGAATCTGGCAAAGTCACACTCCCTCAGGTACCGGGAGTTGTTCATGTGACCCATGTAGTCCAGATCGTGACTCGTGACCTTGCCATCGACGGTTTGGTCGGCTAAAATGTCTATGAGGCCGGGCTGGAAACAAGCTTCCACAAAGACCTGGACCCCACGCAGGAAGTACCACACGTCCAGGCTGCAGAAGAGCAGGAGGAGGGCACACACCACCAGGAGCAGCAGCATCTCTCTGCAACAAGCACAGTGTAAAACTGTCAACATTGTCCTAAAGTGGAGAAAGTAATTTGCAAACCACAAAAAATGTATTCATGTGTAATAAAATCTACCCTGAAGGTTACCACTGAGCTCAACATGTGAATAGAGGTCCGTTTGGAAAGGAACCAACAATGGAAACAGACTCCACACACTCCAAACAAGTACCTTGATTTTACAGCGTTTATAGATGCATTTATTAAGTGATGTTTTACACTGCCATCTTGTACATGTTATAATCAATCCATCGTTTGTAGCCACTAGCCATAGGTTCCCTTCCTACAGGCGAAGAAGCCCTATTGGTTGATCAGTGCTACAACATCACGATTTACACAGAGCATTCAGGAGATGATGGCCTCCAGGCTGAAACACGTTGGGGTTCGACGTGGTCAATTGAGACACGTCATTAATAATAGAGTTATTATTTAACCAATAACTAATTGTTTTTTGTGTGTTTTATACATTGACAATCCCCTCATCACAGAGCACTTAAAGGAGCAATATGTAATATTTGCATGTCAAGTCATCATTAAATGACCCGAATATTTCAAAAGGCGTTATTAAATCATACTCTTTTCGAATTCATCTTTAACTGATAACAGTAGTTCAGCCGAGATATTTGATTATCAAAATTTGTTTTACGACCCGTAAAAGTTGTTATTGTTTTGATTTTGATGTCCTACCCTCCGCCGTTTCGCCAATCAGGAAGTGTCATGTAAGTCCGTGATCGGGTTGCCAGAACTCCGCGCGGCTCATTAATCTCAGTGGTAAAATAACATGTGGCGCAGAACTAAAAAAGGTCTTGTTATGACTCTCAAATCATTAATGACAAAACAAAGACTAAAACGAGGATTTATATCGGGATGCCTTTGAACAATTGAGACAGCTGATAAAAGGTCACGTGTGATGCAGAATTTTCTAGTTTCAGCGCGTTCTTCACAGTGCCTCTGTTCGTGTGAACCAGTGGCCTAGTGGTCTAAGCTGTGCGCCTACGATATAGGAACCCGGGTTCGATCCCGGGCTGTGTCTTTTTGTATGTATTGCATGTTATCACATTCTATGACAGATTGCTCTAAAAACGGTAAAAGATGAAGGTCAAGACGTTTTTTTGCAGATTATAGCTTAATTGTAAAAATAATCATTTAAGACCACATGTACCCCAATTAAAATAATGTTAGTCTCTATTTGATGTGGGACTTTTACATGTTTGTCTAAAAAATAGGGAATAAATAAAATTGAAAGGGGATATCCTCTTGAGCAAACCCTGATGTTGATACGCTGAAGAAATACGTTCTGTTGTGAGATGGTCTTTTGTCCATTGTATGTTACCGTAGTTGGGTATGCTAACCAGGAGGGGGCACTAGAATTCGAGTTGAGAACTAAGTCCGACACATGGCTGACGTTACCCCATGCTGTAGTGCAATAAAGGCTTTTCTGAAGAAGACCACGACGCGTGTCTTGCCTCATATCATGACATGGTGTCAGAATTGACGACTTCACGCCGACATTGAGAGCACGATGGCAAAGTTTGGACCTCCCGAGCCTTTTGATTTCACGCAGCCAGCGGAGTGGCTCACGTGGCGGCAGAGATTCTCCCGGTTTCGAGTCGCATCAAAACTTGACAAAGAGAGCAGCGAAGTGCAGGTGAACTCGCTCTTGTACTCTATGGGGAGAGATGCCGAACCTATTTACGGCTCATTTGTGTTTCCTGCGGCGACCGAGGCCATGCCACATCCAGAGTACGACTTTGATCTGGTTATTCAGAAGTTTGATGAACACTTTGTCCCGAAGAGAAACGTCATCCACGATCGCGCCTGTTTTCATAAGCGGAGCCAAAGGGCCGGTGAGGCAGTCGAAGCTTTCGTGCGGAGCCTGTACGAGCTTGCACAGCATTGTGAGTTCGGTGCGGGGAAGGACGAGCAGATCCGGGACCGGATTGTTATTGGAATAATGGACAAAGAGGTTTCTCAAAAACTCCAGTTAGAGGCGGACCTGACACTGGAGCGAGCCATCCAACTTGCACGTCAAAGTGAACAGGTGAAACAACAAAGTGCAGAGCGTGTGGAAATTACAGTGAATGAGGTGAGACAGAAACAATACAATAGCACAAGGAGGAGCTATGATAAACCGCACCAGGGATATGGACAGAAATACAATGAGAATAAACTTAACTGTCAGAGATGCAACAGGATACATGACAAAAAGGAAAGCTGTCCAGCCCGTAACAAAAGGTGCAGAAAATGCAATAAAATGGGACATTTCGAGGCCGTGTGTAAGTCCAAGATGCTGAAAGAAGTCAGAGCAGAGACTGGTATGGACTCAGATGAAGATTCATTTTTCATTGGAGAACTATTCTTGGGAGCAACCACTAAGTCTAAGCCAAACATCATTGTGGAGTCAAACGCTGATACTGACTGGGATGTAGAGCTACTTGTGAATGGCACTGCAGTGGATTTTAAAATTGACACTGGGGCAGATACCACCGTTATGGCTGAAGAGACTTTTCGAAAACTACGCTACAAACCGAAACTGAACACGTCTAGGCCCACGGTGTACAGCCCAGGTGGGAAAGTCAGATGCGTGGGTAAGTTCCTTGCCACCACTACATACAAATGTCAAAAATATCAGTACTGGATTACAGTCATAAAAGGACAATACGTCAGTAACTTGTTGGGTAAGGATGTAGCAAAGCGCATGGGGCTAGTAGCCAGAGTTAATGCCATCACTACTGACTTAACCAGTGATGTGTTTGGGGAAATAGGTCTACTGAACTGTGAGCCAGTTAAGATTGAGTTGACTGAGGAAGCGGTCCCATACAGCGTCAACACGCCACGCAGGGTTCCGTTTCCGCTCCTCCCAAAAGTGGAGAAAGAGCTAAAGCGCATGCTAACTCTCAATATCATTGAGGAGGTTACAGAGCCGACAGACTGGTGTGCCCCAATGGTGCCTGCTCCAAAATGCAACAAGGACGAGGTCAGAGTATGTGTGGATTTAAAACGTTTAAACAAGGGAGTAAAGCGTGAACGTTACATTTTGCCCACACTGGATGATATTACACCTAAGCTAGCGGGAGCCAAGGTTTTCTCCACTCTGGATGCTTCTAGCGGGTTTTGGCAAATTCCATTAGACCCCAGCTGCCAGAGACTGACCACTTTCATTACCCCAATGGGCCGGTTTTGCTTCAAACGCCTGCCATTTGGCATTACATCAGCGCCTGAGATTTTCCAGCGGCTGATGACCGACCTGCTTAAAGGCCTAGAAGGGACTGTCGTTGTAATGGACGACATCCTGGTCTATGGATCTACAAAAGAGGAGCATGATCGCCATCTCGACAAAGTGTTACGGACGGTCAAGGCGTCCGGTCTCAAGCTCAATAAGTCCAAATGTCACTTTGGAAAGAGTGAACTGCAGTTCTTCGGTCACATCATTAGCGCTGATGGGGTGAAGCCTGACGAGAGTAAAGTGGAGGCTATCGCTAAAATGTCCAGCCCCTCAAACGTGGAGCAGCTGCGGCAGGTTCTTGGATTAGTGAACTATGTGGGAAAATTCCTACCAGGCCTGTCTACGGTGCTGCATCCACTCACGAATCTTCTCAAAAAAGAGACTGCATGGGCGTGGGCAGCGCCTCAAGAGCAAGCATTTAACAAAGCAAAAACGATGCTCATGGCTGCACCTGCCCTTTGTTACTACAACGTTAACAAATCAACAGTAGTCAGTGCCGACGCGAATAGTTACGGCCTTGGTGCTGCCCTGTTGCAGGACCACGAAGGTGAGTTGCGGCCTGTTGCCTTTTGCTCGCGCACACTTACTGATGCAGAGAAGAGGTATTCGCAGATCGAAAAGGAGTGTCTAGCGTCAGTCTGGGCTTGTGAACGCTTCGCCCGCTACATACAAGGTATGGGCCATGTCCGTTTACAAACTGACCACAAGCCACTGGTACCGTTGATCAACTCGTACGATCTTGACAAAACGCCACTACGGTGTCAGAGACTGCTTATGCGCCTTATGCGATTCAATGTTACTGCTGAACATGTTCCCGGTAAGCAGCTAGTAGTCGCAGACACGCTCTCTAGGCATCCATTGGAAAATAGTTATGTGCCTGAAACGGAAACACAAGTAAAGGCATGTACGTGAACACTATAGTAGCTAGCAAACCAATAAAGTTAAGTCACCCAAGCTTGAGGAAATTCGCAGAGCCACACAAAGCGATGATGACCTTCAAAAAGTAATCACATTCATCAGAAAAGGGTGGCCTTGCAAAATAGCTGGGGACTCACCACTGCGCATATACTATGCGGCCAGAGGTCACTTATCAGAGTCTGACGGTCTGGTCCTATACCACGACCGCATAGTAGTTCCAGCGGTGCTTAGAGATGATGTTCTGGACCAACTGCATGAGGGCCACCAGGGCCTCACAAAGAGTCGCGAGCGAGCCAAGCTGACTGTTTGGTGGCCAAACATCGGGACACAGATCACAAACAAAGTGAATTCATGTGACTTTTGCAGAGAACACAAACCAACGCAGAGACGTGAACCACTGGTAACCACTCCCCTACCTAGTGGCCCATGGCAAAGGATTGCTGTTGACCTGTTTGAGTTAGAGGGTAAGTCCTATCTTGTTGCTGTCGATTATTTTTCCAGAGACATTGAAATTTCTTCCCTCACCACCATTACAAGCAGGCAGGTAATCAATAAGCTCAAACGCATGTTTGTGAGGTGGGGAATCCGGCTTGAACTGGTCAGTGACAACGCAACGCAGTTCACATCAGCGGAGTTCAAAGAATTCAAGCAGAGATATGGTTTTTCTCACATTACCTCCAGCCCACATTACCCACAGTCAAACGGAGCTGCGGAGAGAGCTGTTCAGACTGCCAAGTACATCCTTAAACAGCCTGACCCCTGCTTGGCCCTTATGGGTTATCGCTCTACACCGATCGCAGCTACAGGTGCAAGTCCGGCACAGCTCATGACTGGTAGACAAATCCGTACCACTGTTCCTGTCCTGGAAGAGGCATTGCTGCCACGTCCATTCAACCCGGACCATGTTTACATGAAGGACGCAATGGCTAAGGGTTCGTACAGGTTCTTCTATGACCGCAGGCATTCAGCTCGCACGCTCCCTGAACTTCGCCCTGGCCAGCCTGTTAGAGTGAAGCTCGATGGGGAGAAAGGATGGACAACACCTGCCAGGGTCATCAGTTTATCCAAAGAGCCGAGATCCTACCTTGTGGAGATGGCGAATGGAAACGTGACCCGTCGGAACAGTCGTCATCTCCAGTCTGTTCCTGAGGCCGAACCTCCTGCAGAGCACCCTTGTGCCCAGCCTACAGCATCGCTGCAGGACAGCGGGTTCCCACTGACGGATGTGACTGTGCCACCTGAACCACCAGCTAGCCAGATGCCAGCGGGCCCTTCCAGTGCGTCTCCCCTTGCACCATCTACACCCGTGAGGACGACTTCCAGAGACCGTGAGATAAGGGTGCCTCTAAGATTTAAAGACTGATTCAAAAGGGCAGAATAATCCCTTTCAGGACCGAGGGCAGTCTACCCTGTGAAGTCCTGCATCGTTCTGAGACTGTTTGTAAAAGAATAAGAAAAAAAAAAAAGTTGATGCATAAAGTTGTGCAGGAAAGTGTTTATTTTGTTATGTTGCAGTTGAAAATTCAAAGCTAAACTAAACAATGAAGAGATTGAGGGAAAATTTAGTAGTAATTAATATTGATGTTGTTGAGATAAATAAGAATAGTTGGGTTCTCTTACTGCTAACATTGAAAGAGGGAGATGTTGTGAGATGGTCTTTTGTCCATTGTATGTTACCGTAGTTGGGTATGCTAACCAGGAGGGGGCACTAGAATTCGAGTTGAGAACTAAGTCCGACACATGGCTGACGTTACCCCATGCTGTAGTGCAATAAAGGCTTTTCTGAAGAAGACCACGACGCGTGTCTTGCCTCATATCATGACACGTTCCAACATCCATTCTTCCCACTCCTATTTTGGACATCAATTTCTTATTTATTTTGCATAAACTATGTATAATTACATTGCTTTTATTTTGTTTTTGTTTTTTTATCTCAAATGTCCAAATAATAATAATAAAAAAACATGAATCAAAACATTCATTCAGCATTAGCACGGCTGTCATGGCAATGTGAATGGAGACGGACAAACAACTGATAAAATAATTCCCTGTGTTTGCTGCTGGATTTGGTGTGAATCTGGCAACCTGAGTCAGGGAGAGTGGGAGAGGACTACAAAATATTGACTGTGACTGCAGTACCACTTTTGGCCAGATTTTTACATATTGCTCCTTTGAATCTACTTACTTCCATTACTGCCTTTTCAGTTTGGTTCTGGTTCAAGTTTTCAAATTAAAGTTTTCTTGGGCTATGGTAACATGTTTTCTAAAAAGTCTGATTTGGTCACACTTTCAGTTGTGACAATAGAACATGTATTATTTATGAAAAAAGTTAGGTATTCAACTTAAAGGGTCATTTCAAAATATATGTTTTGAAAGGTAAACTCACAACACATGAATGATTCGGTACCGTGAAGAGTTTGGAGAAGAGAAGATATTTTTGTAGCTTTGATTGGCTTACAAAAGTTACATTTATGATCAGAATTTAACAACAAAAAAGTTGGTTCTACAATATGGGACTTATAGAAAAGTAAAATAACTGAGGAAAGTATGAACTACATAAAAAAGAGACAATACATTGTAATAAACTGTAATTCTGGTCCAGTAGTGCGGTGTGCTCTCCTTGATTGAATGAAAACCTGCCTCCAAACCGGCCCTTTGAAGTCTGTCTGACATCCAAGCATTATACCATCTACACCCAGCCTAAGTCCTCTTTATAATGTATAATGCATTCGTATAACAATATTGAGTGATTTATGAGACCATATGTGTACGGAAATGTGTTTTATCGTCCGTTTATTCTATGTCATAGATAAACATCTTCGTTACATCAGTCTTTGCCGTTTGTCGATGTTATAAGTACATGATACTGGCTCCTTAGATTGACCTTAAGAATGTCATTTATCTACAGATGCATTCAGTGACATATCACATAGGTTGAAAGTAGCGGTATGTTTCTATAAAAGTACATGGGCGAATTTACTGACAGCTTCCTCTTGTCCTGTCTGATATTTATGACTTTGTGGCCTATGCATCATAAACCAGGCTTCCCGTTAGCTTAGCCAGATGCTAACCTGTCACCTGGCCTTGGAAACGCGCAGGACGCTACAGAAACCAGTAAAAGCACCAACATTTCTTCAGCTACCCCATATGTGAATACAATAAATGAACAATAGAACTGCAGGTGTGCAATGTTGAAGACTTACTGAGTCTGCAGGAAAGTGCGAAACCATGGGACTCGCTTCAACTTGGTAGATACCGGCAGAATGAATGGACTTCCGCATTAGGGAAACATGTGACTTCTGAGCAAAACAGCCAGATAACATTGGCACCATATTAAAAGGTGAATGAAAGTTTAAGTACTCAAAACATTTCTGATTCAGCCGTTTCCCTTGTGTAATTATTTCCAATTTGGATAGAACAAAATATAAATAACAACAACGTTTAGCACCTTTATTATACAACACAACAACTCCAGACTCCACCAACAGCTCCAAGACCCAAGTTGGCTTTTCCTTTAGTAAACACAGATACATAGACGTATATTCACATATTTTAAATGGCTGACAGACAAGATTTGCAGGGTTTAGTGTACTATTACTAGACCTTACTAGTCTGGATTAGTAGTAGTCGTGAAGATGAGAATATCTATCAAAATCACATTGTGGTTGTATTATGAAAGTAGAAAAATACTTTTTTTTGTGTAAACATCACACTTGCTGCTTGATAATACAATCTTTTATAGTTAGCGTTTTCATGTCAGTAGTGCATTTTGATTACCTATGTGCCTATTCTCACACAGAAACCAGGTGGCCTCGGTCCCAGTTTGATCTGACCTGTATGAGAAGATATAATAATAATAATAATAATAATATTACATTTTCATTTGTTCTTTTCATCCAGTCCACTCTCAGCTCTGAGTGACAGGCTGCTGGCTGAGATGAAGTTCACCCAGTGCTGAAGATCCTCAGGAAACTCCGGACACTCAACCTGTGGAGAAGAGAACATGACTTAACCAGGAAGAAATATGAATACGTTCGTAAGGCCAATTATGAATTCAATTCAGGTGAACATTGAAAGGGTCACAGAGAAACCTTAAAAACGGGTCTATGTAAGGTGAAATTACAACAAAAACAGAGAGGACATTTATGTAGTGGTAGGGGGGTACCTAACTTTTTGTTCCTGAAATGGCAAACCACTACAAATAGAAAATAAGGTCCTGGGTTTGACTCCGGGAGTTTACATGTTCTCCCCATGTTTGTGCAAATTATTCAAGTATATTATTCCTAACACTAAAACATGTACAGTAGGTTGACGTGATTCAGAATGGCTGCATGTTTGAATCTTGTTTTAGTCTCCTTTCATTATTCTCTGAGCTTGTTTGCCAAATATGATTTTGCCTAATATCAAATTAAAAACCATTTAAAGGAGCAGTATGCAAAAATATGGCCAAAAGTGGCCACCTCTCCCAAAAATAGCATGTTTTATTGTCTTTTGACAGATTAGGGCCATGACTTGACATGAAAATCTTACATATTGCTACTTTAATTACTGAATATTATTACTTAATTACTTATCTGTACTTATTGTATTTCGAGATGTAGACATAAGAGTAAATATTTCCTGCTCTTGAATATAGAGTATAGAGTTTTGCTATACTTAACGGTCCTCATTCCTACTGTTCTGTAACTTCTGATGCAACACTGACATTTCCCTGCTGTGGGACGAATAAAGGATCTCTTAATCTTAACCACTTTACATCTTAGTTTTATGCTGCATTCCTTTTCCCCTAACGAGCTCAACAAGGTTTTGTAACAGCCTCTGTTTTATTACCTTTCTCTTGCACAGATGTTGCATGATCTGCTCAGGAGTGGTGCGTATGACCGTCTGCTTGCAGTACATGACGGCACAGACCAGGCCATCTTTGGTCGACACAAATCTCTGCTCCAGGTAGAAGGCCTTGTCGTCCCACGTCACGATCCGACTCCTGAGCTCGTAGCCTTCGCCGATACACAACGCCCTCCTGTAGCGGATGGTGTTGGCCCCCACCACCATGTTGCCCCGGAGAGCGCGCACAGCCTTGAACACACCGTTGCGCGTGTACAGGGAGAATCTGGCAAAGTCACATTCCCGTAGGTAGCGAGCGTTGTTCATATGACACATGTCGATGTCGTTGAACGTGACGCGGCCCGAGACCGTCTGCTCCGCCGTGATGTCGAACACCGGCCCCTGGAACCAGGCTCTGAGGATGACCACACCGGCCCGCAGGAAGTACCACACGTCCAGAGAGGAGAAGAGAGCCAGCAAGGCCCCCAGCAGCCACAGCACCCACCACATCTCTGCCTGAGCAGAGGAACGTGTCATTGGTTTAGTCAAGGCAGGTTTATTTGTCCATACACAAGGCAACTCAAAGCACAATCACACAAGACCATAAAAATCATAAATAATCACAGTACATTAAAATGAGTGAAGATAAAATCCCTCAGTTGTATGCACTGCTAAACATAACCTGGATTTAAACCTTGTCAGACTGTCTCTCGTTTTGAGGAAGACTTTTTCTGCATAAATCTGAAACGCCGCTGCCTCCCAAAGTTTAGTCCTGACTCTGGGCATCAGCAGGAAGTCAGTCTCTGTGCTCTGCATAATCCAAGTTGGATTCATTCAAAATTAATGAATACATAGTCTATAAATGATGGTGTATTTAAAGGTGAACTATGTAGAGTTTCTGGTAGAGGGTCCATCGTCTCATGATCATAAACCAAATCCATAACTTACAAAACAAAATACTAGTGTAATCACATGATTGTTTGGCGATGGAGTTAAAAAAGAATATAATTAGATTAACTTTAATATATTTAAATGTATTCTGTATGGTTTACATACATACATATATATATATATGTGTTTTCAATAATTATCCATCATTAATTGCGGAGTCAAATCTATAATAACTAACCTCAGCGTCTTGTACCACCTTAAGAACATTAAGAACCACATTGCATTTCTTATTGTAGTCTTCTTTAATTTACTGTATTTGCTCTATTTTTTATATGTTACATTATAATGACTTGTATTGTTTTATGCTTTTATTTTACGGTGCAGCATTTGTTTTGGCAAATCATTTTCCAAAGACTCTGAAAGGAGTCTCCCAAACTCAAGGTGCACTTCAACTGGTTTGACAGGAAGATCAAGATGTGTGATTCTTTCCTAACTCAATGCACTGTAATCAAACTAATTTTGTTTTAGAAAACTATGCCAGAAATGAACTTAAATCAGGAAAAAAAAAACACCTTTAACAAAATATGCACAACACGAGTAATCAAAGTGACAAACCGAAAGCTATAGGCTAAAAGTGACCTGGCCTTTCATTCAAGAAGATCCAGCAGTCTCTGAATAGTTTACTCTTGTTGCAAACATTACACACATCCACCATCTGCATTCCATTACTGCTATCTGTCACATGTGTATGCACGTATACATACCACTAGCACGAAGATTTAAAGGCAATGTATATAAAAATCAAAGTTACCTGTTGTTTGGACGCTAGTGTTAGCTGCAAATGACTTGACGCCTCGACATCGCACGTTCCTGACGGCTGCTTCCGGTTTGTACTTCAAAATAAAAGCCAAATGAGGCCGAGAAAACCAGACTCTTGTAACATTTGGATTTTCAGATTTAAGCAATAATGAGTCCAAATGCAATTACATTTGTGCCGGACATAAAGCTGCTCCTTTTCTGCATTATCCAAATCTTTGAATGATCAGGCGGCGAGCCGTAAACTATCATTTGCACACGGACCACAACTTGAGAAACACTGGCATTGTGAAGTTGAACATCTGTACTGTAATGTCCATTGCATTGGAGGTTGAAAAAAAAAAAACCCTATTATGACCAGGTCCAATAATAATTATTAAACAATAATTAAAAAATGTGTTATGAAACATAAACATAGCTAAAAGATTAAGAGATTAAGATTAAAAGTGGGTTCTGGTCCAATTTCCAATTTCTGAGTGTTATACCCAACGCATGTCCAAACTAAAGCCCAAGGGCCAATTACGGGCCACCTGTTTCATTTTATGTAGCCCTCCACCTCACTAACCCAACACAAGTTCACAGTGTCATCCAGCCAGCTTCAGCTCTGCCAATATAGGCATGTCATACCTCAATGTCAAGCTCAGAACCTCTTGAACCTCTTGAATCCATCTTATTGTATGTACTGAAATTTGCTGTTCGTTGTGTCTATGGCACTTATGTCGCTGGTGAGAAAGTAAACATTTGCCATTCAGCCGAGTTCAGCTCTCACAAATGTGTATGAAACATTTGACATCTTAAAACAGTCTAAATATTTTTACATTTTGTGTCGTCAGCCCCTGAACAAGTCTGGTAAACTAAAGTGACCCTCTAACAATAAGGTTTGGACAACCCTGTTAACCCACTCTTTTTTGTGTTTTCAAAAATGGCTTTCAAACACCTGCTTCCGTTATGAAATCAAGGTACAACCATAGACCATAAGCAACTAAAGACATAACTCAGACCTCGCCTTGTTCCGCTACAGTTTGAAGACTTTATTTCATTGAGGTTTACAGAGGAACCAGCCCACCCAGTCTGTCCAACTGTCACTTGAGTCTGGGCGGTGGGACTGGCTGGATAAACCTGTTCAAATACTCCGTCTCAGTCCTTTCTTGTTTCTCTCTGTACGTGCGACTCCCGCTTAACTTTGCTGTTGGCGAATCAGAAAAACTTCCCTTTGTCTTTGTGCACACCTCCACTCCTTCTTTACAACGTCCACTTCCACTTGGCGTCATATCTTTATCTTCTCCCTTAGCGATTCCCATTTCACATTTATCCAAAGACATTTTCGAGCTCTTTTTTGCGATTCCAGTCAATAAATTACACCCAGGAGTCATATTTTGCAGCCCATTTGGCACGGGAGACCTTTCTCCTGTGCAATCACTACTTTTATCATCTTTATTGCTCTCATAACGACGAGGGGAAATTGTTGAGGATGCTGTGTTGTTGTTCCTCGACCTGTGACCCAAACTCTGCTTCCTCTCCATCTGTGGGGACAAATTGCTCTCTGCGCTTTTGTTGTTTTCATGAGATGCCAAATGGGTTTCATGGATTGGAGAGTTTTTCTGAGGATTTATAGCAGGATTAGAAGCAGCAGTCCGATTGCTGCAGGTCCCTGGAGAAGGAAAACCGTCTCTATGGGTTATTGGTGAACGATGTGGGGTTAAGTGACGGGTATGATGTTGTGGAGGTGTATTTTTGCTTGTTTTGCTGATGAGGCAGTGGGCTTTGGAGGAGGGGGAGATTCCCGGTGGTTTGGGTGAGCTATAAGTCCTACCAGGAGGAGGTCCGGTCTTGGGTTGAGTGGATGGTGATAATGTGTGGTCTCTATTGGTGCTGAGAACACTTAACACTGTAGGCAGATGAGAAGCTCCACAGCCCGATCTGAAAAGTAAATAAAAGTAGTTATTTACACTTGTGAACACTGCACTCTAAAAACAGATGAATTATAACAAAAGACTACTTCAATTTAACCTAATTCTAGTTGGTCTTTCTGTGTCAGAAAACAACCAATCTGTAATGTTGATTTGAAAAAAATGCACACATTTATAACAACAATAAAAAATTATTAATGCATGATTAATAATAATAATGATAATAATAATTAGTAATAACAACAATAATAAATAAATAAAGAATAACAATACTACTACTGCTAATAATAAACTCCTATACCGTAGCCACAGCTACCCTAGGGCAGACTGATAGGAGCGTGGCAAATAATGTGCAGCTCTGACCACCACAGAGCACTCACTCACACACCAGAGTTGCAGAGTGCAGACTCAGTACAGTGCAAAATGTAACATTTTCATTCTCTTTTCTGTTTTTCAACAGTCCATACAACATTTCTTCAATGACAAGTGGTTTACTGAATACAAATTTAAAAATGACAAATGATCATTTATCATAGAGCGATTTTCATTTAGCGATAATGAACAGATATATTATGCTGTAATATGCTTCATGAATACAGATTACTGACATTACAGTCCAGAAAATGTGAGACACGTTTCGAATTTGATGATGTTCAAATCCAGATGAAAAACCAGTGAGAAACAACTGAAATATTGTTTGTGTTCTTCTTTCCAGATTAATTCTAATATGATTGCATTGTTTCCTTTCTTGCCCTGTGTATTAATTGTGCTGTATAAATAAACTTGCTATGCTTTGCCAATACATTTTCAAAAGGCAAAGCAAATGTATTTGCTCACACGATGCAAAATACAAGCAACATACATGGCACAAACCTGTTATATCATTGTTTATACTCAGACTATGGTACATCTCTAAATAATCCATATAATCCAGATTAAATGTCACTCACTGCCTCTACTGGAAAAGATAAAGAATATGGATTTCACATACTGCTTGTTTATGGCACTGGGCCTTGTTAATGGAAAACCTTGTGTCATATCTGTCATAAATCTGTGATAAAATGTGGGTCATATAAAAGTAAGAGATTGCTTTGAATACAGGGCAATTAAATGGGTTTAAATGCTTCTATACTCACCTCTGACTGGTTTTAAACTCTCTCAGGGGTGTGTAGGAAACAGGGTAATGTACCAGATCCTTCTGAATGGCCTTTCTCAGTTCTTTCAATTCTAAACACATTAAGAAGCAGAAGTATTTACTGAGAATCGGCACAGACATGATTTCACCACTAGATGGCAGTCGTGTCAAAGGACTCGCCTCCAAGAGTTGGTTCTGCTGGCTTCAAATCCTGCTCAGTCTTTGTCCAAATGTTTCTCTGGAAGAAGGACAGAAAACTTACACATTTCTTCCATACCTTTGGAATATAGCTCATATTTATTGACCAAGAACAATAATAAGAAAAGAAAAAAACAATGTATGAAAACAGTACAATAGGTTCAAAATAAATAGTAAAATCAAAATAAAGCCAAGTTTATCTAGTTTATCCTTCTATATTTACAACTTCTTTATCTATAAAAAATGTTTTCCTTATACATTTGGTTATACACATAATTTTGCTTTCAGAATTGTGTTGCTATTACGTCACGTGTGTGATTGATTAGAGCACCCTGTCTCGAAAGGTGAAATACATAATAAAAGTATGTCACAATATTTGACACATGTTTGGTCTGTTCTTTTGAAACAAACACGAGGTTTGGTTGGTCTAATATTGTCTGAAATGTCACAGGTTTGTGTGCTCTGGATAATTACAACGCCGGTCATAACATTTGATTGCAGCTGTTATTTTAAATGCACGCTGTAAACTTAAATAAGCAACAATCTGACACTTTGATGACAATTACCCGAGAAAACCCCCTCAGAGTCTCGCCTTGTGCAGAGTGGCTGATTACATTCATAGAACAGTCTCGCTCTGAGTGAAGACGTGAAATAAAAATTTAGTTTGGAAAGACACACATTTTTCTCATTAAAACAAATGCACAATTATTGTATTTTTTTTATTCAATATAGTTATGTTTAAAATGAACTATATTGGTTAATTAACTATATAACAGGGGCTTTGGGCCTAATGGTCGTGGGTTCCATCTCCCACTAATGTATGCTGCCTTTGTGTCCATGGGCAAGACACTTTACCCCACTTTGCCTGAAGCCCCCACTGAAAAAGACCATGGCTATGTTGACGCCCGACACAGATATAACTGTGGGCGACACAGTGCCTGAGTGGATAGCACTCTCGCCTCTCAGCAAGAAGAGGCGAGAGTGTATGAGGGTGAATGCGTGTGTGTTTGTGAGTGCGAATGTGGGACAACAGATGCAAAATAGCCCATGGCTACAATCTGGAATGATGTGTTCATTAACATGTACTGTCCCAACCAAATAATCAATAAAAAAATTATTTAAGATAAGAATAAATGAATGATTGAATGTTAGGTCCATAGAGTCTGTACTAAGCTTGACCCAGTTCTGGCCTCGCAGAGTGACATGGGCTGAATCCCTGGTATTAAAGTAGGACTTTAGATTTGGGTATTGTTTACACAGAATAAGCTAGTTCCCCTTGAGCGACAAACAACGTTTACTTCATTTATTTTGGATCGCCATGAGTCTGTTCTTGTTCTCCCCTACTGTCTGTGTTTTTCAGCATTTTATTCTACTTTGACTTTTACTGTTATTATCTTTAGGGAGACTATGCACACCTGTCCAGGGACTGCAGATGAAAAATACCCTGCTTGGCTAATTCTGGTGCATTTACAGAAATGTTTATTAATGCACAACGTCCCTGTCAAATAAAGTAACAAAATAAAGCGCCACAGCAAACTCCATCGCAATTGTTCCATAACGATTTGCTCGCAGTTTTATCATAATAATAGCAAAACTGATAGTCAGCTTAGAATACCAGTCTATGAATGAGATTTGGACAAAACCTAAACCACGGATGAAATATTCAGTTAGGAGGTGTTTTTTAAATCATAACCAATCTGCCCAGGATTCAAAGATCTGTCTGTGTGCTCAGTGAGCAGTGAATGAAGTGGAGAGTTATTTGCATCTTTCTGTTATACTGTCCTTTTTATGATCACTTTAGAAACATCACTGATTGATGAAATGCTCACCCATGATCTACGACATAGAGATGAAAATATTGTTTTATTGTATTATATATATTAGGCGTTCAAATTCTTTTACAGACACTATAATAAAATGCATCTATATATGCTATGCGTTAACAGAGAAATGGTTCTATTCAATAGAAGTGTATAGAAAAGTATTCAAACTTTTTTTCCAATATGAAAGAGGACACTGATATATTATGCTCTTCATAGTCCAAATAATAAACATAAACTTAAAACTTATATGTTTCAAGTCTAAACTAATATGTCCATGTTATATCCTACGGTAGTTAATACAAGCCTTTCTGATCCCCTACTCTTGGTGAGGGTTTTATCAGAGTTCACAGTAACAGCAAAAGCTTACAAACTTCAGAGGAACGTTTGAGGATTTTTAAGGAATAATTATAGGAAATACATGCATCTATGTTTGTATGTATCTATGTATCTCTTTTGAGACCAAAAGAGATACATAGATAAATGCGATGATGCAATAAGAAGCCGAAACTGGGATTCTTTTTGCCATATCACCACATCCTGACATGATCATCCAAACAAGTCGACATCAACAGCCATCTCCTCCCACAGACTGCTAAAGCATGCGCGGTACATCTTGAACCGGTGTGTTCCGCAGCTCTACATCTGCTGCGTAACCCACTCGCACCATGTTTCTCCCATAATGCCAGGCGAGCGTGCGAGCGATGTCCTTCTGTGGCTCTCAAACACAAACATACAGCATGTTCCCTGCAGAAGCCATTTGAGTGATCGAAGGCAGATCTAAACCAGTCAGCAGCTCTGCAAAACTTGGCCAGACGCGTGGAAAAAAGAAACAACTTAAGCTGAACCATCCCTGGATTTCTGTGTGTGTGTGTGTGTGTGTGTGTGTATTTGTCTTTTCTGACCAATGGCAGCTTTAGATGTTTAAACTTTTCACAGTTCGACTGTTGTGATTTTGGCTGTGTAAAAAAAGAAAGATTGATGGACGATGGATTCATATAGCTAAGATAAGATAGACTTTATTGATCTCACAATGCCGAAATTTACAAGCTCATCTTGATTGTGAAAATATAAATCTACAACTTGCCTTGAGGTTTAGATATTAATAATGATGTTATAAAAAGGAAAAGAAAGTAAACAGCTGTTAAACACTGCTAGACATAATGTCTCCTACGATTGTTTGAAGGTGCAATGTAATTGCTATCCTCTCAAAGCTCAACATGGTGGTCCCTCCGATGTGTCTATTGTCTCTATCTAAATACAAACTCTTTTTGAGGGTCACTTTTCCACACTCTTCTAAAGGACAATTCCGGCTTTTGTGAGCTTTAAAACAGGCTATAATGTTCATATTGATTCAAACACATCAGTGACATATATGGACATTTTGAGACATAAAAAAATTGTCAGTATATACAAATAAAGTTAACAACTGAATTCCAAAGGGTCTGAGCTTTACAACGAGGTATATCACTGATATATTGGTGGAGCTGAAGTTGGCTGAGTGACATGCTAGATGTATCTCAATGGCTACTTTGAGTTCGCGGCACCACATACAGTGTCACAGCAGGCCATATCTGGCCCACAGGCCTTAGTTTGGAAACCCCTGATGTTAATGAAAGGGAGTCAATAATATGTCCTTGCAAGGCATGTTATACTTCAGTCACATCATATTTTGCTAAAAACAATAAAACCAACACATAATTAGTAATAATTTATCAAATATTTTCAACTGTCTACAAGCCTACTCAGCCTTCCAGGATTTAGTTTGGGGGCAATCCAAGCTAAACTAGTAATTTGTTCCAAAAAAAAGAAAAAAAAGAATATCCAAACCACTCAAATAAATACTATGATCATGTCATCACAAATATATTTCACTGTATTATTATTATTATTACATAGAAAAAATGTTTTGCAAAGAGAATAACTGCACTCCCTGCTCTAAGATAAGATAAGATAAACAGATCACCAGCACTAAGGTTTGGGTGAGTAGTGAGTAAAGTCTAGAATCAGTCTCCATACATGGGCATCACTCCACCAAGTATCAAAAGCATACGTGGATGAGAGCATTACTGTGAGAGACAGAAAAGACTGAACAAAACTTGGAGAAAAGGCAAACACAATTTGACTTTGAAGAAAACCCGAAAGTGCGTTATTTTGCAGGAAAACTTTGTAGATCTATCTGACTCATGTTTTTGAATGCATTGTTTCTGTCAAAACAACAGCCTCAGCAATTTTTTGGCAAAGCTCGACAGAACGCAGATCTGCCTCCGTAAGCATGTGTAGCATATTGTTTTTCTGATGTTAGACTGTGGTGATTATTGACGTCCAGTTCTCACCTGCAGCTCTTTGATCTCCTGTTTCAAAGCCTCACATTCTTCAGTAAAAAGTGACCTTCAGAGAGAGAAAAGAGAGGAATGAGATCAAGGTGGAATTAAAAATGTAGCTTACACTTATATAGTAGGTTCTCTCGGCTTAAATCAAAGGGGACAAGATGTATAAAACCAATTTACTGTGAACCAAGATATAAGGCTGTCATCTAATCATTAGTTTACTGTGAGTCGGTGTGATGAATATTAGGATTAGATAGCTATGACCTACCAGGTGGACAAACGCAAGACTCTATCTGTCTCTGAAGTGACACGTATGTCTTTCGATGTGTGACGTGACAATGACTATAAAAACTATTTGCTGACTCCACTGGAACCACTGGAACCTGAGAGAAGCCTAAATAAACTTACAGAGCTTCGGCGCACCATGATCCCGTCTGTCTGTTTCATTCCTGACATGATCTACCTTTTTATACCCACAATTAAGACTTCAGTCCACACATTCAGAGTTAAAGACACAGTATGTAATATAACACAAGTAAAATACACAATGGGCATGGTGTTCATACTATATATGTATGGATTTTCAAGCAGATCATCCAAATAGAGATCTGAATGAGGCACTCTCTTTGTGAGGTGAAACGTAGGTTTTAATTTAATTTTATAACAAAATCCACACACGAAAAGCACCCTACATTTATCCATGAGAAAACATATATAAAATAAGTAGTCATAGGTAATACAGAGTTTATGTTAAAAAATGTTTGAATTAATTACATATTTTGATAATTTTGACAACCCTATTTAGAAATGAGCAAAATGTAAATCAGTGATCCAAGAAAAAGTCTATAATTCATCAATAAAAAAATCACAAAATATTTACAAATCTTTGCATGTTAAATATTGTGTGTTTTTTTCTGGTTTTTCCTTTACAGTAATAATACAGTAGATAGTTAAAATATTCGCTCCAGAATATTAATGAATCGAGCTGAAATCTGTTCCCAATGGCATCGCCTCTCGCTCACGTAACTAGTCATTCATACATGTCAAATAAGCGTGTTTTCTTCTCCCGCTCTGGGCTCGCTCGTCTGAGATCCATCTCCAGACAGCGGAGGCTTTTGTTTGGGTCCGGTCGGGAAATAGCCAAGTACACAGAGGAAAAACTTTGCAAAGTGGAGAGAAGAGAGCAGACTTCACAAGTTTCTCTCTGAGTTTTACAGACAGACGGAGAGAGAGGAAGAGGAGGCTGCCGAGGACGAAGCACCAGGGGATCCATCCACATAAATGCACAAGCTGAAAGTTATATTTTATTCTCTTACTGGATTCACTGTCTCGGATAAAAACGCATTATTTTTCAGGAAAACTGATTTGAGAGCAGATAATTTCATCTCATAAAATGATGGAAGATTTGCTGCAGTTATGATGTAATGCTAATTGACAAGTACAGCAAAAAACACATTTAACTGTCCCATTTTATTCTTCACAAACTTTTGTGGAGCCAATCTGCCTTATTATGAAGCAAACTATAGTTTGAATCAGGTTTTTAAAGGGACAGTAAGTAATATGCACTCTTACTGTAATGGTCCAATAAAGACATCACAAATGCAATCAAACCTTTGTTGCAAACCACGTGCTGAGGTTTAGGCCACAAACCTTACAACTCATTTTTGTATCTGCTCTCATTTAAAGCAATGTGTGGTGCTATTTTTTGTTATATATATTTAAAAACAAAAAAGAACCAAAACCAGATACATCTCATCGAACTGACAACCCAAATGAGAGCTTCAGTCTACTCTCTGATTGGATAAACTGCACAAAAATTGTAAAATCCATTATATATTTTTGATTAGGAATAACTCCACTTCCAGGAAGTGACCCCGGGGAATACCCAGGACCCTAGGTCTCTCAGCTGGCCTAGAACTTCACAGGATTCCCCTGAATGAGCTGAAGAACATGTGTGTGGATACAGAAATCTCAGCGTCTTTGCTTAGACAGCAACAATGGGTAAAGCGGGAGAAAATGAATGGAATAAATCTAAAATTTAGAAAATGACTGGACTGTCCTTTTTAAATTCTATTCTTTATACACTTATTTTTACCATTGTCTCTTTATATTCAAATGTATGTTCAAATATATGTTCAAAGCATATTTCTATTTCCTCACTCATGGAGCAAAATAATGCATAATTTATATGTACAGTACATGATCATACACATGCACTCACACATATACTGTACCTACACTCAAGAGAAAAAAAGAAGCAGAACAAATGCAAATAATAATCATTATACTGTACATACTTGAGTCGATCCACCACTTGTTCAATGCCATCGACGTTCAGGTTTACTTTTACTGCTTCTACTTCTTGATTTGAATAAGTGGAACCTCGTGATCCAGATCTGCAGAATGCAATGATTGTTACAATAAATAAATACAAATGAATTATGAAGCATTATTGTTACCAACCTGTGATCATCGACTTGTGATAGTCGGCTGTAAGATCTGCCAGTGTGACCCACGGCGTAGCTCACAGTCTCAGGCTTGTAATGTGACATAAGCTCCTCTCCATCTCTGCAACAAAAACATGTTTCATATTAAAATCTCTAACAATATGGACTTTGTCTATTGGTCTGGGACAGTGGGCCTCGGACACACCTGGACGGAGAGATAAATCACTTTTACAGAGAGAATGTGCCTTTCTGAACTCACAAATGGTACTGGGATTAAACACAAAAATCTCATGCCTGTATCAAGAATTTGTGTTCTTGGAAAATCAAAGTCAATGTCAGAAAAAAGAGGGCACAAAAAGGTTTATTATTATGATCACTTATTGTAACTTGAATTAAATGTATAATTCCTATGATTCTCAACAATTATTGCTTTAATTGTTGTATGTTGTACTCCTGAAATGAACCACCAGACCCATGTTCATTCTTTGGGAAAACCTTTAAGAACAGAAAAACAGTTATGTTTTTATGCATAATCACCATGGATACAAAACACCTCCCTTCTCTGGCTGTCTCATTTTCATAAAGATACCGTACTCTGTTATTACATAGCTACAGCAACAACAATGAAAAAAATAAATTAATAATTTATTAATTAATTAATTAAAAAAGTAATTTTTTTGCCAGTTCTGAATTTTGGGAAAGTTGGGAAGTTTTCATGCATGTGCAGGGGGTCAAAATAAGGTTCAAAGTGCAGAAGAATTATCCAAAAGTCTCAGAGCAAAAACAATATAGGTTTCAATGGGACATGATACATAATTTTAAAGCGTTTGAGATTACGCACGCAACCGCTACATTGTGGTGAGGGACGGGCACTGACTCGTCCGTCACGCACCGCCACCCCTTGCATTCACCATTGTGAAAGCAATAGGCCCTTACCCCAGTCGGGGCTTAGGCCTAATTACTGTACTTTCTATAAGGCGCACCTGTATATAGCCAGCATCAGAACATTATAAAAGAAAGTATATTTTGTCCACATTTAGGCCGCACTTGGAATAAACCGCAGGTTTTAAGATTAAGATTAAGATCCTTTATTCGTCCCACAGCAGGGAAATTTCAGGGTTGCATCACAAGTTATAGCTATACTAATAAAAATGAAACAAAATCTCTAACTGTAGCAGTAATAAAAGTATAAAATCTTGATAATAATAATAAAATAGGTGTAAAATGTTTACATTTCTCAATAAGAGGCAAGTATAAAGTACTGTACTGTACTGTACTGAATAAAGTACTACTTTTCATGATGTAATGTAACAGATGACTGTTTTAAATAGTCACAACATGATTTAATGACAAGATTAACTGTTAGCTTACATGCCAGTACTCATAACTCATAGCTGCTAAATCTTGATCGAATCAAAATAATAAATCCATAAATACTATGCAAAGCTTTATAAGCCGCAGGTTTCAAAGAACTAGAATAAAGTAGTGGCTTTAGGTCTGGAAATAACAGTATCAGGAAATAAGTAAAAATATAACATTCAATTGTTTTTTTTAGCTTAGTTATGTAAGCTAAGCTAGTGAGATATTGATGTAAGTCTTATTCTCTGTAATGAACTTACATAAAAATGATGAAAAATGGTTGCATAATTTCCGGTGCTGCACCTACTGTACATTTACTGTATGTAGTGTGATGAATTGACTCGATTGAAACTCTTCCTCTCTTATTTTTGTGAAGCATTTTGAGTTGCTTTGTGTATAAGATAATGTATAGTAAGATAAAAAAAATTTGATAGCCCACTTCTATCACCAAGTGGAGGAAAAATGCCCACAACAATTGTAAAGAACTCTAAAGGCTCTATATTAATAAACATTACTTACTAACAAATCATACCTGTAATCTGACATGGTGAACATGAACACTGAGTACACAATCAAGTTTTGCCACTTTGAACACACGTACTTGTCATTTTACAACAATATGAATTTCATTGTTTTTTTTCCCAATGATTTGAATGCTGCTTTTGTCTGAAGTCTTTCTCTTGTGCCTCATGAGAGGAGATTGGGGCTTATTAGTTATATGCAACCAAGTAAAAATGAGAAGGCTAATCTCTATTAAAGCAAACGTCAATGAGGAAACATGTTTGAATGTAGTAAACCAGCTTCTTTAGCCTTGGGTGTGCTGTCCTTCCAAATTACCACACAACTGCACCGCGCTATAAGAAATGAGAGCTGTTTTCTCAGACTCACACATGATGGTATCAGTCTCCATGCTCTGCACTTGAGCCGGATCCTAATTGAACGATCAAAGCATTCAAATCCAGTTAAAAACACAGCCACACTCGCAGTAGCACCAACTCGGATCAGGGTCAGTCAGAGAAAACGCTAAGACAAACTTCAAAAAGAAAAACTGGCAGAGCGCCCCTGTGCACCAATACTCCGCTGGCACCACTCCTGCTGCTGCAACAACAAAGGGCCAGACATTCTCCTCAAGAAACAAGACTTTTGGAAGTATTCTATGAACCAGCAAATCTGATTCAGGGCGAAGGCGCTGTTATTGGGTTTGTGTTCCGGTCAGGCCGCTTCCCTTTGAGTCGTCTGCTGATGAATGCTGAGATTAAGTATTGAAGACAAGGACAAATGTACAACCTCGGGCTGTGTCTGGATGGAAAGGAGCCATGATTTAGACTGCGATGAAAGTCATTTGTTAAAAGTGAAATGAACAAGAATGTTTTGTGCTCTCCTGGCACATTTGAAGAACTTTTTTACTTTTACTCCTTACTTTTAAACCCAAATATGTGTACTTTCTACACCTTATATTTTAGAATGACTAAAGTTTGCAGATAGCGACACAGTATAAAAATGCAAACTCACAGAACATGCAAACTCTACTCAGAAAGACCTGCTTCCAACCGGGATCCAAAACCCAATGTTTGAAGTGGTTAGCCATGCTTATAAATTCTACATGTTTTGTTTTTGTTGTCTACAATGGTAGAAAGTCTTGAAATGTCTAAAAAAAGTTATTTTAAGACTTACGTATTTTGTCAAAAATGCATTTTTACTTTTATACTTATGTACATTCAAAATCTTGTACTGGTGTTACTTCAGCACTTTCAAGAGAGATGATTTTTATAATAATATAATAATAATAATAATAATAAATGCCTTGGTTTTACATCACGCTTTTTGAACACTCAAAGACGCTTCCCAGCATTATTCATTCACTCCATCCACAGTGGTACTGCAGCCACAGCTTCCCTGGGGCACATTGACAGAAGCAAATGCCTACAGCCTAAAGGCACAACAACAGTTTGGCACTAGAGGTCTTCCATCACAGTTCTAACCAGGCCCTGTCCTGCTTAGCTTCTGGAACTGACAGGATCTGGTTTTATTTTTATTATAACTTTACCAGTAGTTATGAGATACAGGCATATATACATCCATCCAACTAAAGGTGAGCATACACTTTCCGAGGCCTTTCAGGAGCCACAATCGCTGTTGATGAACAAGACAGAAGAAGAAGTAGAAGAAGGTCCTTTATTCGTCCCACAATGGGGAAATTTCAGTTTGATGCATACACATATAGTACATACATACACATCAAGGCATGCAGCGAACATCATATCCACGCTCCTTATAGGCTAAGTGGGTTAAGTGTCTTGCCCAAGGACACAAAAACAGCAGGCATCAGTGAGAGTCGGTGGAGAAGGTCCCATGGTGGGCTCGAACCCACGACCTTTGGGCCCAAAGGCCAATGCTCTACCAACTGAGCTACTGTCGCCCCAGAAACACAGACAAATGTTTAACTTTATCTGCTTAAAGTCTTATATTTGAAGAATAAAAAGTGAAAAAAGTTGCAGACTTTGTGAGCAGATGTGGCAGATGTCTAATTCAATAACATTAAGAAATCCACTTAATAAAAGAGTGAGGTTAAAAGCGGAAGTCCAAACAGGCAAACTGCGCTAAAAGCAAGTAGACAAATGAACGCAGTCGTAAAAAGTGCGAGGAGGACAAAGCCGGAGCTGCTGTCGTGTTCTGTGAGTCTCCCTCAGAGAAACTCAAAGGTGACACAGGCCACATTCTTCAGCTCACTGTGCGGTTGCTGAGCGCGCAGTGACGTACAAGGCCCAAACAAACGAACTGTCAGCGCTAAATTTAAAGCTCAAATAATGATATTCGCTTGGCGTCAACAAGAGGCAAGCGGTACCAGTAAGTAAAGTTGTATAGCAATAACCCCTAACCCTACACACAAGGCAACTCAAAGTGCGTAACAAACAAGCCAGAACCAATCACACAAAGCATTAAAATCATAAATAATCACAGTAAATTAAAAAGAGTGAAGAATCAATCCTTCAGTTGTATTTCAAATAATTTGAACAATGTCAAAGTAGAAGTCTGTCTCACATTTGCAGGAAGACTGTTCAAGATTTTTAATATAGAAATATAGAAATAAGAAGAATTTTTGTTGTAGCGGCATTTGCAGGACCTCCTTGGCAGATGTTACTCCCAGAAAATTCTGGAAACAACGATCTGGCACTAAACCTGAGGAGTCAGCGTTAACATTTACGCAAATATGGAACAGTCTTCCTGAATATGTGAGACAAGGCTCTATACAATGTTGAAATATAGGTTTAGCTGTGCTATTGCGTAAAATTATGGTTTTATTAGTTTTTAAAATAAAATGTAAATGTAATGCTGCTTTCAGACCGCCAACGCTGGAACGCTGAAGCCTCGCTCACTAGGCGCACATTCTCTAGTTTTCAGACGCAGGGGTCTTCAGACCAGAAGTCCTGGCGCGCGCCGGAAATGGAGGAAGTAGCCGGCGGGCTTTGATGCTAACAGAGTTAAGCTAGCGGCTTCTTGTGTAAAGTTCTTCTCCAATAATGCAGCTTTGCAGCGTGTCTGTGTTCAGAGACCTTCCCCGGACTTTATATAACAGTAGTATGTGTTCACGGAGGTGCGCAATAAGTTACATTTATTATGAAACGGTACTTCCGCAACGGCGAACACGCTCGAAGCAGTTGCATAAGGTCACCATTGACTTTGCATTGAAGTAGTAGTAGGAGTAGTAGCAGTAGTAGTAGTAGCAGTCATAGTAGTAGTAGTAGTAGTAGTAGTTTTTTAAGGATATTAAAGTAGTAGTAGCAGCAGTTTTTTAAGGATATTTTAAGGATATTAAAGTAGTAGTAGTGGTAGTAGTTGTAGTAATAGTGGTTGTGGTAGTAGTAGATGAAATTTCCCCACTATAGGACAAAATAAAAAATCTATTAATCTTAATCTTAATAGTAGTAGTGGTGGTGGTAGTAGTAGTAGTAGAATAAATAGTAGTAGGGAAGTTTACTATGCCAGCTCTTCTAAAACTGCCTTTAGAAAAGTACATATTAACAAAACAAAACAAAACTGCGATTTTGGCTGCATTTAAATTAACTCCCCTTTTACTGCACATTCCCCAAACCACTTTGCTATATGGTCGCTCCGGAATCCTTCTTTATTTCCCAGTTCTTCTAGAGAGCGCCATGAAACAGGTTTTTTACGGTGCTTTTGACTGAGAGAGAGAGAGAGAGAAAGAAAGAGGGGTCCTAACCCGAAACCCCAATTAGGAAAGAGTCATGACAAATGCACATAAAAACAAGATGGTGGGAGATTCCTATATTTATTAAACATTTTAGATTTAGCTGTTTTCCTATGTACATATTCAACTCGGTGGTTCAACATTTACACACAAATGTCTCAAAAAGTTAAAATATTAAACGTGAGATTAACGCATCTAAGGACGGAAAAATCAAATCACATATTTCTTCAAGCCGTGGTGAGCAAACACACGCTCAGACCACAAGCTTTAACTTTCTACGTTCTATTTCGTAATGAGGTCGTCCTGTTTCCTGACCTCAGCACTTTTAAACAATATAATGGCTTTTCCAAAATTCTGACCGTGAATATTTTGTCTGTGAGATAAAGTGGAAACGAACGCAGAACAATATTTGCTTAAGGAGAAGACATTTTTATAGCAGTTTCATGGAATTGGGAAAGCACCGTATGGCAGCGGTTAGGGGCCTTTAATTTTACTAGCCTGGGCAGCAATCTTAATGAATTTTCTTTTCAGGGCTATAAGCAACTAGACGTGGAATTGAGACAGATTTACGCCCGCACACCATCGATTAATGCAGAATAAGATGCAAATGTGGGCTGTATGAGGCCCGGTGTGAACGGCAAAGGGAGGTTGTGAATATAACATATTTATGAGCAGAGACTTTATTATAGGGAACTAAACTAAAAGAGATGTCACAAAAGCCTTTTATAATGTAATTGAAAAATTGTTTACTGTTTTAGACCACACAACAACTAAGAATGCTTCTAACGTCATATTCAGAACCAATAGTTAGTTTGGCATGGAAATATAACTAACCTGGATGTTTTCAGTATGGAATAACAAGTGTGTGTCTCAAGAAGAGGGATTTTGTGTGATGTTAGAAGGGTGTTGAAATCTCCATTATCAAATGTGTCCAGTACCTGCCCGCCCTCTCTCTCAGGGTCTGCAGCAGCATGCCCACCTCGGCTCTCACCAGCTCCTTCACAGCCGGGGGGTCCGGGAGGGGGACATTGTGTCCTGAAAAAGGGGTCCCGGTCCCATAGTCCTGGAGTATTCTCTGCCACTTCTCCATCTGCAAACAGCACCATACGAACTTATAATCAGTCATGAACACAATACAAAAAATTCCATGTTTTATTGTGTTTTTGGACTGAAAACAAAGTGTGCTGATCGCAGTTACCAGGTCGCTTGCCCCTGCTAACCCTTGACATTTGAATTTTTTGAATTTTGGGGATTTAGAATGAGGAACTGTACTTCCGGACCTGGAAGCGTCGTCCACTTTGCAGCACCATAGAATTAACCTTTGAGCTTGTTTATTTAATTTTACCTGTATCAATATGTTTCTTTTGAACTTTGTGTATTGTTGTCTTTTTTGTAATTCCGATGTGGTTTTAAACGGGCAAATACGGAAAAAAGGATTCTTTTGATTCTTCGTTTCCTGGTGGTTTTGGAGGGGCCAAATGCAATAAGCCGCAAAGCAGCAGTGATGCAGAGATGTGTCACTGTCACTCCCCCCGACTGCGATCACAAAGTGACATTTCTGTCTCGAGACGACAGCTGAGGTTACTCTGTCATGATGCAGCAGTAGAAGATTTCCCCCCAAATGTTTGAAGAAAGTTAAACGTGAGAGTTGAAAGTCACCAAATGTTGCAAATAACACAGTTAAAAGAGTGCTGTCATTTCCCATGGTTCAAAGTACAAGGTTCGAAATTTCCCCACTGTGGGACGACTAAAGGAACTCTTATCTTATCTTATTCTGGTGATGATGTTCAGGGAAAACTTTGAAAATTAGAATGTTTTTCCATTTCCATTTATTGTCATGGTGTGAACTTTTATTTTGAACGTTGATTCATCTTGTTTCATCATCTGTTAGTCTTGCCTGTTGTCATGCCTCTCTGTGTATTTATACCCTGTGCCCCACTTCGTCCATTATCTATCCTGGTGGTCCTGGCTTATTTTTTTTGTTTTATTGTTTCCCTGGATTTGCTTTTATTCAAGTAATTATACTTTATTTTGAGTCCTGCATTTCAGCTTTTTAATTTCACCTCATGACATTTACTTTTGTAATTCAACTTACAATGTAAAACTAGTAAATGACACACAAGTGAGGTATATTAGAGATATAAATTGTTATAATTATGGCTTGCAGCTTGTAAAACAGAGCCATAAACATCAAAATGATTGCAAACAAAGGCAAATGTAACTTTGCATTGAAAAAGTAATCAGGGGAGTCAAATATTGGTTTCACATTTTAAGTATTATTACAAAAATAAATGAACTTTTGAACAATATTAAAACATGGTGAGTCTTATCTGTGAAAATTGACATTCTTGCTTCAATAATATATAACATACATCATAGTTCTGCATGTTAGTGGATTATACAAATTGTATTGGTAACATTTCCATGCATAGACACACTTGAAAACTATTTTAAAACTACTATAAAAACCTACACTTTAGAAAATAACACATAATTACAGCAGAAAAGTTGTGCGTGCCATTTACGGCCTCACACACTCAACTCTTTGAAGCTCCTCTGTCTGTTTAAAACTTTGACTCAACAGGTTTTCCCCTTAAGTTCGTGATCTCATCCAGCATAATGCATTGAGCTGTTAGGGCCACAGCATCCATTCCCATTCTGCGTTTCAGAGGCAGCCATTAGATTGGTTTTGTAGGAGGCCCAAAAAAAAAAACTAAAAAGGGGTCTAATGTTCCCTGTGATGTAACCGGCGTAGACAATGGGGACCTTGATGGAGCGCAGGAAGAGAGAGGCTACTATTACTTTTCAGAGTAGCTCGCTGCAGGGATGGAATTCATTACAGCTGCAGACAAGGGCAGAGGAGAGAGCAGCAGCAGGAGACAATGGCATGTAAAGAAAAGAGCGAGATGTGGGTCTTTGAACGCACACCTGAGAGTTAAATAAGGAGTATTGTGGGTTTTCAGAGGATCTAGCTATACCTCATGGGCTTCAGTCTGGACGTGTGTGTGTGTGTGGGTGTGTGTGCTGCAGGAGAGAACCAGGAGTGTGGCCCAGATCTGGCTAATTTAGTGGTTAAGTGGAAATTGGTGTGATGTGAAGGTAAACATGTCAGATTCGTTTGCACATATGTGTTAAATATGACATTAAAAACACTGGATTATGGTCTCCAGACAGAGTTTCGCATTTTACAAGATGAATATATCTTTTTGAGAATAAATTATAATAAAATGTACTTGCACCATTTCTCAACTAGCTGTCCAAACCAAACAAAATAATATTTCTATATAATTACTGTTTTTGCAACACTACTTTGTGTCCAGAACACACAATGATAGTGTTCGCGGGTTTTCTTTCAAATACTTCTGCTGTTTCAGGACAAATGTGCACTTAAGTATTAGTAGCAGTATGCATAGAATTTGGGATACAGTGATAATAATTAGTAATCTATAGAGTAACACTATTGAGTTACTTCAAACAGGAATATTTTACTGTAATATATTATAAATGTCCCACGACCCAGAAATGGATTAAGGGGAGGAAAATGGATGGATGGATGGATATTATAAATGTTGTGCATTCAAAAGTGAAAATGTCAATCCCAAAATGGAATCTAATAAACATATTACATCATGTTGTTTACATGACTCCTCTGATAAAAAACAGACAAGGGACTCCATTGCAAAACAAAACATTGAAATGCAGAAAAACACATGTATTGTCGCTAGTAATTAACAGTGAAGCTTTAGCTCTGAAGACCCCACTTCTCTGTTCTTTTTGCCTGTAATAAAAGTTATAATCCGTACAGAGAGACGCAATTTCTTTCCGCATGTGGAGATGGGCTGCAGTGATGTATGAGAATCAGGAAGTGAGCAGTGCAACTGAAGGGGCGATCTGAGGCCAACCATGACCCAGCACGTTCCCCGAACACAAAGAGCCGTTCAGAGCAGAGGCCCAGCCTGGAGATAACATCTGCACATGGAAATATTTTACAGACGTGTTTGAGAGAAGGCCGGAGAACAGAACCGAGGAAGTAGCATGTTTATTTAAAATCAGGAGCTTTCAAGATGCAGTCATGTGTGAAGCAAGGAAGTCCGTACAGTAATTGCACTGGGAATAACGACACAACTTTCAGAAAGTAGACTCGGCTGAAAGTCCCATTGAAGCTGGTGGACCTTCCTTCCCATTGAGTTTTTCCCAACTTCTAAAATAAAATTGTGTGAACAAATCAGAGCTGATGTCTTCCCCTAATAAAAAAAACAACAACAAACTGTAATCTTTTGCGTACTTGCATACTTGCATATACCAAGAACCCTGTGAGTCACTATTGGACACTTTGGGCTGAGAGGTGATTGGCTGAGTGAGGGTGGTCCAATATTTTTCCCTTTTCACGTCTGAAGATGCTGATTTAAAATGTGACAGAGGAAAAAACAGGTGAAAACTAGAGATAGAACCAAACTGAGAACTAGTTTCCATTGTTTGTCATTTAGAAAATATGTACCCCCGCTTTAAGACAACATACATCTGTTTTACAAGTATAGCTTAATGCTCGTCAGTGTAGATTCAATACTGATTAATCGTATTGCCTGCAAGAATTGAATAAAAGTGAACATTTCCATCCAAAATATCTAGATGGAAAGGATAGCATATACATTTATTTTAATTATTCAGACTTAATAAGCGTTGGCGTCTTCCTACTCCTTTTGCATAAGCGTTAAGTCTTGTTGTTGACACTTGATTTCATTTTTGTTGTTGTCTTGTATTCATTATCCTATGATTTTTTTTTCTTATTCTGTTGTTTTTCTTCCATGTTCAAATACAAAAAACCTACTTTCATTCAAGACTAACACAATACTGTACTCAATACAAAGTCGATTCACTGCGATTGTATAAAATGACTTTAAAATGAACATGCTAAGCCTTTACATTTGAGAAAACTTTGTATTTAATTGATTCAAGACGTAGAGTGCATACAGTAGATTTAAAGTTGCCAGTTGACCCTTTTACTACAGTTTCCACCTCTGCTTTCCTCGCACTCAGCTATATGAGGTCAGTGTGTCTGAGTAAATATCGGAGCCTGTCTGATTCACATTGTGTGCTCCAGCTTCAGCCACAGTCCTCCTTAAGTACAATAACGTCCTAAAATCACATGAATGAGAATAGATGCAGCTTACTTAACCTACTTTTATCCCACTTGCACAATGTAACGCTACACGTCTCAAACGCTTCGGTCAGGAATGCTTATGCGCGCGTTTCCCTCAAAAGGAAATACTTTGAGGTGGCGCAGTGGCTTTGCTGGATTTTTTTGATTGGACTAAACGACAAAAACAGAGAAGTCATACGAGCTGAAATGAAAAGGGCAGTTGTGCCTCTTTTCAACAGCGAGGAGCATGACGCCTGAAGTTAATCTACATTTTCGATCATATTTTATACAATGATATTATGTGCATACAACGGAAAGATTGTAGAAACACTATTTAATGTACTGGGATTATTTATGTTTTATCTGTGTATGATTTGAACGTCCTCATGTTGTTTTGTCAAGCACGCCTTGTGTATGAATTGCGCTATACAAAAAAATGCCTTGTCTTGCCATGATAGCTGGGTGTAGCAGTAGTATACATAGTGAATTAATTGGAGATTAATTGATTCTCTCATCTGTTGTTGGCAAATCAACCACTTTGTAAAGTCCTCCAAGACGACTGATGTTGTGATTTATGGCTATACAAAATGTTCGCACTTATGCAAAATGGAAACCACAGGATAATTTGTACACTTTTTCAGGCATTTTTGAAAAAGGTCCATCCATTGTTAAAAATATGTATTGCTTTGTTGTTTTGTAACTTGTGCTCCATACCATATAAATGGCCATGAGCAATAAAGAAAGAGAAGAAAACAATAAAATGAAATGGATCAATACAATATAGCGTGCACAATTTTCGAGTGTCCAAAAACCATAACACTATACACATCTGATGCCTTTCCATTACAGGTTTGAAGTTTTTTGTTGTTGAAGTTTGTTGTAGAAGCTCCAAGTTAATGCAGTGATGTGTAATGGAGTATGGACATAATGTGGTAAACACCATGTGGCTTAATAACTGTATCTGCAAAACTACACATGATGCTTTCAGACATGAGTTCTCGTTACCTCAGCGTATGCTTCTGTGTACCTGTCCACCAGCTCGTGTCCCACAGCAGAGTGGATCTGTGGCAGCTCTGACGGAGACACGTGGTCTTGGATGAGGCTCCACAGGGACTGGTCTGGAGACACACCTTCTCCATCAGGGGACTGCATGGTCCTCTCAGACACTGCTGTGGGAGTGAAGGGAGCAAGCAGTTCAACAAAGAACACAGGATATGTAAAAGATGTATATCATGATAATATATTACATCTGATATATCACACGTATATTGTAATATTTTTTTGTATATCTTAGAAATGTATGCTGATTCTCTGATATTATTGATTCTCTGATCCGTGTTGGTGAATTCAACAATTCCTCAGTAGTCAGAAGTCCTCAGAGGAGAATTACTGTTGTGATTTAGGGCCATATAAGAACTTAAACTGTATGAATGCAGAATATTCCTTGTTATCTGTAAATGCTATCTGAAATCCCCTCTGTAACAAACCATTGTTCACTGCTCATGCAGCAATCAACAGCGTTAATGTAATGTAATCATTCAATGAAGAGTAGGCTATTATAGTTAAGTATTTTTTACTTCTGCCTTCTGCTTTTGTGCTTTATATACACCTAGAACAAACATTGTTGTCTGGTTTTCATTGTACCAACTGGATGTGTTGTTCTGAGCTCAAATAAACAATCTGAAATGAACTGATCTAGCTACATGTTTAGGATTAATACAAGAATGAGAATTCGTTCAAACTGTAATAGTGAATTGGATGGTTGCTAGTCAGAGCAGGTCAGAGCTCACTTTAACAGTTGACTAGCCTTAGTTGGCTAACCCAAATAGCCAAGAATTTAGTGATGAAAGGGTCACTGACCTTGACAAAATAAACGACAGTGTTAAAAATTATCTTAGATAACGAAGTTCAAAGGGAAAACGTTACTCAAATGCATCATGGTAAACAGTTGTATCCCGGCCACTGTTGCTACGACAAACGTCCCTGTTGCTATGCGCTGACATCGCGAGATCAGCTCCCTTGGCCGTTCTGAATTGTAAATAAATTAGTAATAAAAACCGAAAACATCACAAAAAGAAAAACAGTTCAACTTGACACATTGAAGAAAACTTGAAAACTTTTTTTTTTGCATAATCGCCCTGGTTAGAATTGCTTTAATTGTATAGTCCTTTGTTTGTCCTTTACGTTTCATTGTATTTGTTTATAACGTCTTCATCTATATTAAATTATCTCCTACGCTATATATGTGCGGGATGAAAGAGGAAAAAGCAATAAAAAACATTGGCTATTTTTGTCACTTTTTCCCTTTTCCACCAAAACGGGGTGTATGAGAAAGTTATTGCAAAGACAAGTGTTTAACCTGCGAGCCGTGGGCATCGTTACACAGACCACCTGCTCTATAAAGGCTTTATAACCTGACTTTAGGATGATATATAGAGGGGTGGGACGCAGACTGTTGAACTCTGAGAAAGTTGAACACGATCCTTCCCCTTATGGCCTCCTCCTCCTCCTTCTTCCCTTTTCCTTCCAGACAGACGCTGCTGCTGCTGCTGCTGCTGGATGCACAATGTAATCTCTACGTGACTTGTTAACGTAGATCCAGCTCTTTTCCCCCGTGTTGGAATCCTTCATATTCATCTAACATGTCTTTGGGAACAGCTGTGGTTGTGGTCGTGTTGCTGTTGTGTGCACATACGGGGTTTTGCTTCTCAGTGGCCGGGCACCAGGACGGCGGAGGCGGCGGCGGCGGCGGCACCTGTGAGGCCAATGGCAGCATCTACTACGTGGGGGAGTGGTTCTTCCTGGACTCTGACCACTGCACACAGTGTGAGTGCACGGCCGAGGGCTCTGCGTGCGCCCGGACCGAGTGCACGTCTCTCCCGGCCGCCTGCATCCACGTGAGCCACTACCCCACCGACTGCTGCCCCCGGTGCGAGAGGATCGGCTGCGAGTACAGAGGAGTGGTGTACGACCTGGGTCACAGCTTCCAGGTGAGAAGGGCCCCTCAGTCACAACAAAAACATTTTTTATTTACTTCAATGATCATTTTGTTGTCGAGATTGTGTTTAAGGCAAGGCGAGTTTATTTGTATTGCACAGTTCATACACAAGGCAACTCAAAGTGCTCAAAAGTATTTAGGAGGATTTTCTACTTCCGGGTGGATCATCAAGACTATTGGTCCTCCTAATTGTCAATGATTCTGGTGATATGTGTCGTCAAAAAAGACCAGAGTTTTTTTTCAAATAATGGAGAGGGCGATTCTTTCCTAAAATATGGGGAACAAAACAGGAAACAAAACATTAAAATCACATAAGGCATTACAATCTTAAATAACATTACATTACAAAGAGTGAAGAAATAATCCTTCAGTTGTATGCACAGCTTGACAAAACAGTTTTTAACCGGGATTTAAACATTGTCAGAGTTGCTCACATTTTCAGATTTTAGCTGGATGAATCTGAATGGCTGCCTCCCAATGTTTGGTCCTGACCCTGGGCACCAGCAGGAGGCCAGTCCCTGTGCTTCTCATAGTACAGGAAGAGAGAGTTGGTTATATGGGACTAACATGTCACAGATGTACTTTGGTGCGAGGCCATGGAGAGACTTGTACACAAACAAACTGTTTTAAAGTCTATTCTCCGTTCAGAGGTGACCTAATTCATTTTCAAACGACAGCAATGGAACTATGTAGCATTCATAGACTGTTATAGTCCCTATAACAGTTTTAACTATCACTAATTTTCACATGCGTGCACTTCTGGCCTCTGGTACATCTTTAGTTTACCTTTTTTTTTTTTACCACTCTCACTCTAAACCCGATGCGTCAAATAGTGACTCTCAGGGCTCTGTCTGCTAACGATGACAATTTTTGAATAATACATGATTTGTCAATATAATTTTAGACTTCTTCTGTTGGACAAATTTTATTTATGAGAAAGAGTAGCCATGGTCCCTCTTTATTACAATGGTGCTGACTGGGGCGCACAAAAAATATCATTATGGGACTCAAAAGAAGAAAGAAATGATTGTATGTATGAGGTATTTCTATTCATGAATTAGAAGTCTAGATTCAGACTTGGAAGTCAGAATCAGATCCTGAAATAACTAACTGCACTCCGGGAACAAAAAGGCACTGAATAGAAATGAAGGGGGGAAAGGTATAATTGGCCTGGTGCAACATGGAGCATGGAAGAAGAGGATATGGCGCCCTCTTTTGAGAAGGGTCGCGGTGGTGCATTTTTAAAAAGAGTTCTGATGTACCTTGCTGGAAATTAAGCTTAAGATTAAGAGATCCTTTATTCTTCCCATAGTGGAAACATCACAAGTTACAGAACAATAGTAATGAGGAGCACACAACACAAGATAAGTGAATATTAAAGGTGGGGTAAGCCATTTTGTTAGCTTAGCCGTAGCACCAACTGGAAACCACTGCCCCCTCCCCTCGCCTCGCCACCAAACCAACACACAACACAACAGGGACAGTGGGTGGCAAACGTGAAATTGGCAAATCCGATAACTCAGGTGTGCGCACTCGCGAGAAACAGGAAGAGGGTGAAGGGGGTAAACGCATCCCATTGGTTCGTTGGGGATGAACGAATCCCATTGGTTTATTTTTATCGGCCCGCTCCAAATTAATTTTTGGAGACTACAGGCATCTGGTCAATTCCTTTATTTGAAAACACATGATAACTTGACTACTTTTAGGTTTTAGGGACATTTCCCACAATATTAAAAAAAATTGCGTCCGGAAAAAATTACTGACTGTATCTTTAAGCATGCGTAGTACTGTACCATCTGGATTGGGTGTCACTAGCTTATAGCTGTCCCACCCATGGGCACAGGGGGCGCCCGTGATACTGCAGACTACATTCACGTGAGCTACCCAGAAAAATGTCCCATAGAACTCAATGTAAACTAAAAAAGCTTTACCTCAGTTGACGGAGAACCTACAGATTTCATAAAGATCGTATTTTGTGGGGATTTTATTGTCCCCTGTCATCCTGAACTTTTTTTCTTGTTAAAGTGATTGTCTGGAGTTTGTCAGAGAGACAGAGAGGTACTTGATTTGAAAAAAACGACGCAAGCTCCCTCCCCCTTCCTTCCCCTAATAGAGGCTTGATTCGGCGGCTCCGCGAAAACAAACAACTGAGCATGCGCGCAGCTGCGATCGTCAGCGCCGATGATTGACAGCCCTTTGCATGACTCGATTGGTTAACCTCGACGGCACCGTGGATTCTGAACTAAGAGCAGGGAAGGCGGGACTTACCCGTAATATTAGAATTAATAAAATGACTTATTTTATATCAACATTTAAGGCCAGGAGGTCAATTTAACACATTTCCTAAAATTTGTAATTCATTTAGAGTTACAGACTATCACTTTAAATCCTTCGTTTTCTATAAATGTACACTTTAAGTAAATAAAGTAAAGTGACAATGATCCCATAATATTGCACATTCTGACATTATTGCACAGATGCATATCATATGACGTCAGGTCGGCAGAGTCATTGTCCATTGTGCATTAAATAAAAACCTGTAATTTCACCACTGTTGCACTAATATAGACATTCATTCACTGTATATTGTTTGTGTGTTATAAATGTCCAACTCAAAGAAAGTTGATAAGTTTACACACATGTGATTGTACATTTGTCCTCCACAGCCCTCGGAGTGTGAGCAGTGCACGTGTGACAGTGACGGCATCGCCCGCTGTCTGGTGGCGGACTGTGCCCCTCCTCCGTGCGTGAACCCGGTGTACCAGCCCGGCAAGTGCTGTCCCGAGTGCCAGGAGGGTCAGTCTGCCTCTCAGCATGAGCACTTCTCTGGGGACATCACGGCCTTGTCTGTGTCCGTCAGGAGGGTCGAACTATGTGCCTTTGATAGAAATAGTACTGTGCCTCTGAAGATGAATTTGTTATGAGACATTTTTGTTTATATTGTGTTTTTCTCACAGTTTTTTTAATTCACAGTTTTAGTTTCCATTGACAGCCTATTGTATTAAGCTGTTTTATTTCTGAAGTGTAGACATGATATTGAATTAAAAATGTTATGATAAATTAGAACTTATATAGCACTTTTCATGACACTCATAGACTTCACATGGCAATTTGTTCACTTAAAACACTGTGATAGTATGTACAGCTGTCCTGGGGCAGACTGATAGAAGCAAGGCTAGTAATCTGTGCCATTGGCCCCTCCAACAACCACCCATCATTCACCCTCACACCAGACTCATACTAAGCAGTGTGGGTGAAGTGTCTTGCCTAAGGACACAATGACTGTTTGGCACTTGACAGCCTCAGCCGCAACTGTGGCACCTGGTTTTCCCAGAGGTCTCCCATCACAGTACTACCCAGGCCCTGCCCTGCTCATACAATCCTTTGACCCATAATTTCAAACTACCGGTATTATTGCGGGTGGCACGTTGGCACAGCGCCTTCCTGCTTCACAGCAAGAAGGTCCTGAGTTCCATTCCATCTCCAGGCTGGGTTTTTCTGTGTAGACATTGCATGTTCTTCCTGTGTCAGCGTAGGTTTTCTCCTGGTGCTCCGGGTTCCACTCAAAAACATAGATAATAGTTGAGGATGAATGAGTTTGTGTGTGTGTGTGTATGTGCCAGAAGTTCTGATATTATGTGGATGGATTCAGTATTTTTGACATATGGCCCTAAAAACGCTTGAACAAAACAATTATTATTTTCTAAATTTTCCCACTTTTACTGATACTGAGACTATACCGTACCCTTTTCTTCTTCTTGTTTCTCACACCAGGCCCAAACTGCTACGTGGATGACTCCCGGACTCAGGTGATCCCGGCTGGAGACCCGGTCTGGGTGGACTCTTGCACCAAATGCCGCTGTCATGACGGCCAGGACGCGGGGTACTGGGAGGGGAACCGCCTGGCCTCCTGCTCCAGACTCAAGAGCTGCATCCTGGACCCGCCCACCAGCCAACACAACTGAGGCTGTGTGACATCACTGTGACACATACAGTACAAATATGGACGATGTGTATGAAGACGGTGTATTGAAAAAATGATGAAAAAAGAGCAGGGACAAGTGACAACACATAGCTTTGTTTTTCATTTTAAAAAAAGATAAAAAAGTGAATAGTTTGACTGGAAAAGCGTTTTTGTATCTACCTCGTTTTTAAACTACATTTTTTCCAAACGTACAGTAGATACCATTTCAAACCACTATGTTGTGTAAATGGTGCAAAGATGCTTTCAATAATCAATACTCTAGTGCCTACTTCATGCAGAAAAGACAACAAGGAATAAAAAGTGTGTATTTTTTCACATGAGTTTTGACTGTACAAAAGAAAGATTATTTCCAACTCTTTAGGGGCCAAAGTAGATGCTCATGACTGCAGGACACTTTGTATACAGTGACCTGGCTTCACTAATTTTTTTCTTCATCTAATTCTTGTATTTACTGGTGTTGTTTTAAGCAGTAATCTATGTCATGTTAAAACTCATATATACAACCTCAACTTCACTTTTGATCTTATGACTCTGTAGTAGCATTTAAATTAAGATTTTTTCATGAATAATATATTGAAAGCATTGGCATGACATTCACCAGAGAGATTTGTTGGAGAACATTAGTTAGACCAATGGAAAAAGACCTCAGCTCTTCTATCGAGGGTTGAAATCAATTGCGTCCAATCAGGGAGATGATGTGGATGTGGGGGCGGGTCTAACTTTATCTTGACAATTTGAAAAGCAACGAGCCCTCACTTTAAAGTTTTAGGGGTTTTTCTGTTACTCTTTACCCATTCTAAAAACCTCTGGCGTCTAAACGGTTAATCATTTTCTATATTTTGAGCCCCAAACATTTGATTTAATGCACGATAGATTTTTAAGGTGGTAATATGTATTGATAGTATATTGGAGAGCTGACAAGACCACTGTAAATACAATAAGCCAAACCTGAGTTCTCTTGTTTTATAAAAGAGAGAAAAGTGATTCTACAGATTTTTTGAATTGGTTTGAAATGATTTGTTACAAGGCGACATGTGTGTTTTTGTGCAGAACATAAGTGATAACGGACCTGTCACTGTATGAGGCGGTGCTAATGCCGTGTTTGACATTTCAATTTCCACGGTAATTGAAACATAATGTATTGTAGTCGACTGAGGTTAAAAATGAAAATTGTATTGTAGTTTTAATCACGGGCAATATTTTAAAACAACACATTTTAATTGGTGCCTGTGGAGAGGGAAAACAACAAATACATAGTTATTGCGTAGGGAGGCCTTTTCTCAGAATCAGCTATGTTACGTTTATCTTTTATAGAGAGAAGTCCTTTGATTTTAATGAACAAAATGCCGCACAATGTCAAACTTTGTGTGTCTTTTTGTCCATTTTTCCAGTCTACTATGTATTATTATAACATGTCATAGCCCTATCTTGTATTAAGAGTAGCTTTGTATGTGTTAACCGTGAAGCTACTCTACCTGCCTTTGTACACTTATTATAGTCAGTTTTTGGTCATTGTATTGGAAATAGTTGCAACTTAAAGCCGGGGTATGTAACTTTCAAGCCACAACAGCTAGAACTTTGTATTGTAATTCATGGAATCTCAAAATTGTTGTTGTTGTTGTGGCAATTGTTGAGTGTCTTGCCACTGTAAGCAGCCTGGGCTATAGCTTTAGCTTGACACAAAATAGCACAGTCAAAAACTGTTGGGCCTAAACCCAGGTCAGCTTCCACATTACACCCACTGGTTCCCCCTACTGTCATTAAAAGGAACTGCACTTTACCTGGCCCCACCCAAACACACACAAAAATAAAGCATAGGTGCAAAAACAAAATGATTAACTTAGCATTTTCTTAATGGGAAATAAAGCGGCCTTTACAGGGCTAGTTTTCGTAGGCATGCATTTTGGCGTCTGTCACGTTTAGATCAGATTCTTCAGACAGAAAAGTGATAAAGAGTGGACCACCCTCACTCAGCCAATCAGCGCCCAGCTCTCAGTGTGAAACAATGACTCATGGTGCTGCTCCGAAATATGATTTATTCACAATATTTGACTTAGGATTATTATTGCAACAACACATCATCAATATGGAAAACTAACCTGTCTCAAGACTCTTGCCGTTGGGACAGAAAACATATATTATTTATTAAACAAATAAGTTATGTACCCCAGCTATAAACGTAGTTAATTTTGTTATGAAATCATCTGCCTTGCTTTTGTGGACAAGAACAGTTCTGTACATAAGGTCAGTCAGCGAAGATATAGCCATGTAAATAATTGATATTTTTTGTATAATTTTTCAATCATTATCCACATTAGTAATAAAGGTATGTAAAATCTATCCAAGGTTATTTTATTTTTGGATTCTCCGCTGCTCTGTTTATGTGTTTATGCTCTCTGCGTGGAGTGTTTTGGCCTTGCTCTGGGAGGATGTCTGTGCGATTTCTCTGAGGAGGTTTTTCACTGGGGACCGTATCCTTTTGTGAAGCGAGAGTGTGATAAAACACAACAGCAGCAGAGATACTACCATGGCATTACAAACGAGCAGGGCTGACCCGTTGTGCCCTGGAAGCACAATGGGGCTGAGGCGCTATCAATACAGGGTGGAATTTGAGCTTCAAAATATAAGAAAACCCAATTTTTTTGAGTAGAAATTACATACATGTAATTTTCTCATTTGAAGATAACACCAAAGACATTGTTGGAAGAGGGTGCTGCTCTATTACATTGTACTCACAAAAAATATATTGTAGGAAAATTGAATAAAATCACTGAATTTCAGCTGAAAGGTCCTCTGTATTCTAGTCTCAGTCGGAACAGTGCTTTTCTGAGTAGAGTTTGCATGTTCTCCTCAGGTCGGCGTGGGTTTCCTCCAGGTGCCCCGGTTTCCCCTATCACAAAAAATATGTACAATATGTGAAATCCTCCAGCTTTGTTCCTGACCAATGAATAAAAATGAATCAAAAAGTATTAGCCTTTTCGAATATCCAAGTAAATGCAAACCTCTTCATCTATGTCAGCTATGGTATGTTAGCCTCTATAATTTCTTGTTTTTTCAGTTCTCACATAAACATTTTTATAATTACAATAAATGAATGAATCATCTAATACCACATAGGACCATACATATTTTTGACCGTAACATCTATGGCGGCACGGTGGATAGCACTCTCGCCTCTCAGCAAGAAGGTCCTGGGTTCGAATCCCGGTCGGAACAGGGTCTTTCTGAGTGGAGTTTGCATGTTCTCCTTGTGCCTGCGCAGGTTTCCTCCGGGTACTCCGGTTTCTCCTACCACTAAAAACATGCTCACTAAGTTAAATCCTCCAGCTGTGGTATTCCTGACCAAGCCGATCATCAACATCTGGAGATGGGTTCTCGGGTGCTGTTACTATGGCGACCACTGCTCCTGACGTAAGCCTTTGTGGCATCAGGATGGGTCAAATGCAGAAGATTGAATTGCCCTACGGGGATTAATAAAGTGCACCTTTACCTTACCTTTACCTCTATTAAAAGTTGCCTCTCTATCAGGAAGATGTGGAGGCGGGTTAAACTGGTGCTTGCATTTAACTTTTTCACTTTACTTAAGACTGACCTTCCTATAATTATAATTATTACTTACAAAATATATAATATATTTACAAAATAAGCCGCAGGTTTGTAGCAGACAGACGACTGTTTTAACTGGTCACAAAATGATTTAATGTTGAGGGGTTTAACAGCTGAACTGTTGGCTTCCACGACTCATTCTCCTTTATGTTTTGACAATAAACAATTGTCCTGTAGCTCGTAAAACTTGATGGAGTCAAAATGATAAGCCCATAAACACTCTGACAACGTCCCAAATCTACCACAATAAAAATACACATATTAGCCGCTTTGCAAAATAAGGCTAAGGGTTCCAAGAAGTCCGGAAATTAAGGTGCATATATTTAGATAATTAAAACAATCAATACAAGTGTTAAAAATTTTGCACATCACATAACCACATAAGTAAATGCTAAGAATACAGTTATTACTAAGAGCAGTGAGATGTTGTGCAGCTGCTTACATAAAAAAAAAACATGTATCCAAGACCGCTTTAAGCCATGATCAGTTTTATTGATTGTATAGAAAAAGTAGGTTTGATATGACATTATGCATTCTATATAAGATATAACATTTTCAACATTCAATGTACAAAAACCCTAGTCAGAGATACAGTAATGTTTAAAAAGTGCCACACAGGCCGGTACAGTTCACTCGGAGTTTGATGCTTGAGGTGCGAGGCCTTCAAATGCTCCTCATAGAATCTGTAAAAACCACACGTAAAGGTCCACCATATACTGTCTGTACATGTCTGCTCTGTTACAACTGGAGAAAAGACATGACCCTAGAACGGCTTACACCAGTTATTTTCCATCGTTTTTAGAAGAGGCGAGGAATTATATGTTGACAAATCCTCCATAAGGTGTTTAAAATTACATGTGAGATACAAAACGCGTAAATAAACTGAAAATAGAACATTAAAACTCAGATAGAATATGCAGTAAAAATAAGGTGCATTGTTTTTGAGAATATGTATATTATTGTTTTAATGTTTCACAGTATTAGCAGCAGAAGACACATTACAAGCATCAATAAAGCCCATAGAGAAGTGCTCATGGACAAAGTTTTGCTACAACTCCTTGTGACTTACATTGAAAAGTAAACTCCTTGAGCACAGTAGTTGCTTGTAACACTCACCATTTTGAGGTTGTGGTTTAGCGCTCTCTGTGATCCTGTTGTTTATTTTTTGTCTATATTGGCTTCATAAATCCAGATACAGATTGACCGATTAGATTAATGGGAGAAACTCAAGCCTTAGCAACCATCTTAGCAACCCAGGTACAGCGCAAAGCTAACGCCGTCGGAAACAAATGCCCATAGGAGGAAAATGGCTCAAGCTAGCTTATGATCAAATCGGATTCATTCACATCTGGCGAACCCTGATATACAGTCTATGATTACAATACAGTTTCCATACCATACTGTGAAACATTAGTGAGAGCAGGTGGCAGTAGAGACACCACCAGGAAAAGTGAGACAAAAATAAAAGTAGACATGGTTCAATTCCCCAATGAACAATTTGTCGATAACATATGCATTTCTCCTTGTTAAAGCCAAACTCACTGCTAATCAAACAAACAGATTAAATGAGTTGATCTACTGTATATGCTAAAAGTGACTGCTAGTAGTGTTGATATAGTACGTAGTAAAACGCAATGACCCTCAAAGATTCTGTTGCACAAAAACTCTGTCAATTTTACAACGAAAACAACAAAAACACATGTTTGAGAATCGCACTGTAAATTGTAAACAGCGTGTGAAAAGATCCAGTGGGACGTGTCGGAGGTGGTTAAGCTGGGAAGCTCCAAAAATGGGGGAAAATAGACGCAGAGACGAACAACATGTGTGGCGGTTTTTTTTTTGTCAATGGGACCGCGAATGTGGCGTTCTTGTCGATAAGACGCTGAATGGGAAGACTGGTTTGTGAAGAGGGCGCACTGTGGTGAGCGAGAGTGGCCCTTTGACACATGCAGAGAGGACTGGCACCGTTTGAAAGAAGAGGAGATAAAGGAGAAGGGAAAACCAGGGACAAAAGCGAAAGTTGGTTTTGTAGTGATTTATGGAAAGTTGAGTAAGTGCTTAAGTATTTTGTTGTGGTTTGCTTATGACAGGTTAGACTTAACTGCTGTATTCGTAAATGACAGTTAGCATCATACATACAAGTATATATTTACTCGCACTAGAGCATGGGTGTCAAAGTCAAAGCCCGAATTCATGATCTTGGCTTGTACAGAGCAATAAGAAAATTCATTTAATTAGTTTTCCTCTTTGAAGAAAGTTTGTTTTTGTCCGTGATCCTGTTGAAAAATGTTTTCACTGGAAATTACTGACAGAGACATACAACAATATTGGATTATTCATTGAATCATTAAATAAAATATAGTGCACTGTGCTCGGTCTTGGTCCAGTAGGTGATATGCAATCATTTCAATACGTTTTAATAAACATTGAACCGGTCCAGCCCTCGGCTTGAATCAAATATGGTTCTTTGGCCCTCTGATGTATTTGACTTTGACATCCCTGCACTAGAGTATATGGGACTTTCTACAATCTTGGCATTTCGTCCTGCTGCAAGCTAAAGAAATGGATAGATAGATACTGTATTGATCCCCCTTAAGATGGCGACAAGATGTGAATATTTACCTCAGGCCGGGACAAAATACCAATATTTGAGTGAGTCCCATGAGTATATAGGTTTATACTTAAGCTAAAGCTCATTTAAGAAATTGCTAATTACGTTTACAAATTTCATCTTTGACAACATTGTAAGATTTATAATGAACTTCCTGGTTGCGAGTGATGACATCATGCTAGGAATGATCCTAAAACTCCCTTCATTGTCATTAGAAATATAATAATATGTTGCATGTATAATTTAATATAAATGATGCCAAACTTTAGGATTAGTTCAGTGTGTACATACATCAGTTCCAGAACTTCTGTAAATGTCATATTTTCACAAACTGTGGCTTTAGTGGCATAAACCATGATGTGTATTTTAAACATTGCAGCAGAATAAGTCTAAAAAATAAAGACCGAACCAAGTCAACAGGGGTTATTATTATAAACATGTCTTTGTGAAGAGATTATATAGTGTTGAGAGAATATAAGAGAGTTCATTTTCAAATACAGATAAGTGCGATTAGTAAGTAACTAAACAAGTAACTAAGTAACAATGTTGGTGTACCAGTAATTTCCATTTTCCCCACACAATGATGACAGAAGCAAGACCAGCTGGCACATCGAAGCCTCCGACCATCACCATCTCTCATTACATTGAGACATGTTTTTAGTGGCAGGGGTACCTGTGTAAGTTTCCTCCGGGTGCTCCGGTTTCCCCTACCGCTATAAATATGTACAATAAGAAAAATCCTCTAGCTCCTGACCAAGTCAAGCCTCAACATCTGCAGATGGGTCCCTGGGCGCTGTTACTACGGAGACCACTGCTCCTGATTCACACCCTAGTGGCATCAGGATGGGTCAAATGCAGAGGATGAATTGCCCTACGGGGATAAATAATGTGCACCTTTGCCTTATATGTTTTTGCTAATGAACTCTCATAATGACATAATCCTCCTTTGTTTATCATTATCTCCTCTCCCTCCACTTTCCAAGGCATCCGTGTGGTGTTCTAGGCTATAAAAATCAAAATATAAAATGTGTATTTTGCACAGGTAAATAAAAAGACAAGCGAAATGCGAAATGTACAAAAACATAGAAAAAGAACTGATAAATATGAGATTGTGATGGATTGGTTTTGCCCACAGCCGCCTCAAGGTGACACTCAATGAACAGATGCCAGTCAAACTAGCGTTCACTTTTTCAGCCTTGCCTTCACCTCAGCATCACAGACGGTTGCCATATTCAAATGAAGGCTGCTAAAAACAGCCTGAAAGCATGAGGCTTGTAGTGAATAGATCTGTATGTACAAGTTTTAGAACAAAAAAAAAATGACCTTCAAAAATGCGTACTGATCACCTTGTCCTCTGCAAAATCCACTATTTTAGTTTCCAGAGCGGAGTGGTCACGAAGGTAATTATGTAAGGTGAAATCTAAAAAAGAAATAGTGAGAGACAATATGAACTTATTATGAAAAGGCGCTATAAACGTGTTCTGGTGTTATGTCTGACCTCAAGCGACTGCATTTCCTGTTTCACAATACGACATTACACTTATCAAGGGGTGTCAAACCAGTTCTCAAAAGGTTTTCATTTCAACCAAACAGGAAATGGGTGGAGTCTGGTGCGCTCCTGCTTGGTTGGAATAAAAACCTGCAGCCGTACACAGCCCTTTCTGGAACTAGTTTGACATCCTTGCTCTAATCGATCTCTGTGGAAACAATTGAATAACAAATTTGAAAGATATAATTGAAAGTGCATATGACGGTTTAAACTTCAAGATGATTGTGTTTAAGATTCTCAGTATTTGTGTCATACATTTTTACTTCCTGTACATCGGCACAAAACCTTTCCTTTCTGTCTGTTCTTGTGCTGACTGGTTTTTATAAAATGGTGAAATCAATGAAAAATAATCATACTGATCATACTAATGATATTCATAATTAAAACAATAAAATGACTTCCTTGTTGTAAATGATGACATCATTAAAGGCATTAAACCCCCGCCAACAGATACAGATACAGGAAATGTATTTAAAAAATCTTAATTACCAGAATATAATTTGGGTGATTGTCATCACAAACTGTGGCTACACCAGTGTAAAACTATTTTTTGGATCGACCCGGTGTGTGTGGATAGGTAAGTCTCTCTCTCTGCTCTGGCCATGGATGAAGCAGAAGAAAATGGATGGATGGAAAATATAGTAGTTAAAAACCTGTCATATGCACGTTTAATATTCCTATAATGGAATGTAAGTTAGATAGAAATGGATATATTTGATTCCCCAGACACTGGCTTTTCTGCAGAGACAGACGGCCGACTCACCACCAGAAGCGTTGAATATAGCGCACTTTCATATAGAGCCCCCACTTGAAATGTTCCTTCAAGAAATGGTCAAATTTGAAGAGAAACACATAAAGCCAGAATACAGCTGTAAAACCGAATGACTTACAGGGGACTCTTGTTCTTGTGTATAATTGTACTTTGGCTTATAAAATAGTGTATGGAGATATAAACATTTACCTCTACAACCGAGATTAAGTTTTTAGCGTAACTCAAAAAGCTCCAAGGCCAGTTTTCCTCCCAGTGTTCTCTAATTAGCAACTGAATGTCAGTACTAATGCGCATGACTTTACGTTGTGCTATAAAAAATGTCAAGAACTAAACGCAGATTATAGAATTATGAGAAAGGCCTAATGACTTGTACGCACATCACATTTTCAAAAGCCAAACCTAGTGTCTTGAGTAACCTATTGTACTGTATATGCTTCATTACAATAACATGTACGGTATACAAGTATGATAAGGCTGAAAATCTCTTAATGTACTGAATATATGCGTCCTGAAATGTACAAACCAGCTCGTAAAACTGAACACATATAATGCCCAAATGTTGCTATGATATGTCCATTGTGTAACCTATTAAAATGCATCGTAAGCCAAACACTCGGAAACACAGTCTCAGCGTTGAATCACTCCCAGTCTAAAGATAGATACAAAAAGCGAGTTGGTTGTCTTTTGATCAACACATTTATAGCACAGTTTGAAGTCCTCTGCAGGAGTCGCAGGCACAAAACACATTCAATACTCGAGGGAACGAATCCAGAAAAACACCATCGTGAAGCGCCCGTCTATACAATCCGATGGTTTTGTCTCTGCATGCCATCTTAACGCCAAAAACGCCCAGGAAATCGCCATGAATTTGCCATTACCAGCAATTTAACATAGTTTCAGTGATCATTTCAAGACGGGCGCTTGCCAAATGTATCCGCGAGGCTTTTTTGGAGGCCTTCCAGCTCTCAAATGAAACTCGGTGGAACGAGTCCAGCGCGTTTTTTTTTGGCCGCTATGTCCCGGTCGGCGATAGCTCAAGTGCTCCCTGCAAGTGAAGAAGTCCAAGTGTCCTGATAGCGGACTATAGCGAGCGGATATCCCGGCGTCATTACAGGAGGAAGAAGTGCTTGTGGCTGTCCTGCGGGAAATAATGGCGGCGTCTATCCCTTGAATGGCCGCGGGGGAGGCTTTCCGATCTCCACTGATATGTTTGTGTAAAGGGGAAACCGTCGCACCTCCAGCAGCTTGTAGGTCAGAGAGCTGATGCCGTCCTTCTTCATGGTGTTCTTGGTGTTCTGGATCTTGTTGAATCTGTTTGAAAACACACAAAGAAAAAGGTGATTGCGGGAAGTGTACTCGATGCACCGCAGAAAATGATACAATCTGAGGTAAAATTTGTAGTTGTATCTTATTTGGAGTACATTCAAGATCATTTTGCTTGTACCATTGGCAATTCTTGTTTTAAGGCAATCAAAATGTGCTCAAATTAAGAGAAAAGAGTAATTTATGACTTTTTTTAATCACTTTTTGCAGTGTATGAAGAATGTGAAGATTGATTGCCGTGGTGTTTTTGAAACGTTTCCTACACTCCTTCAAAACACATTGGAATGTTTTTGTGATTTTGGTATGCATTGTTTTGATAAGTGGTTTGAAAAAAATGATGAAAGAGAAAGAAAAAAAGCAAAATGTCTTTCCTTGAGGTTAGTTGCTTCTGATTTTTCAATGATCAACATGCCAGATGTTTTTCTCAATTCTGACCTTAAGTTCACTGTTTTGATCTCACTTTTTAAAGTATTTGTCTTCCATAAACTCTCCAAGATTGAATTGGTTTTTTATCTTACTCTTCTGCTAAACTAAAAACTTAATTTACTATCCATCCATCTATAAGTAAGTAAGTAATGTTTATTTATATAGCGCATTTTTACAGACCAAGGTCACCCAAAGCGCTTTACAATGCTCAGAGTTCAGATATCGTTCCAATCATTCCACACACGGTGATACCGGAAGCGAGTCGCCGAACACACTGGACCATCAGCCCCAATCAACACCATCCATTCACTCTCTCATTTACAATCATACCTACTGTGCATGTTTTTAGTGTTAGGGGAAACCGGAGCACCCGGAGGAAACCTACGCAGACACGGAGAGAACATGCAAACTCCACTCAGAAAGGCCATGTTCCAACCGGGATTCGAACCCAGGACCTTCTTGCTGAGAAGCAAGAGTAGTACCCACTCAGCCACCGTGCCGCCCAATCTGTCTGTCTATCTATATATTTCTAAAGCTGTAAGTCTCAATTGATTTAATAATTCTGCGCTGTATAGACGGGGATTGCAACAGCTAATGGTTATCTCAGATAGCTTGCAGCAAAAATAACCGTCAAAGTAGATTATAGACTATAGTATTGTATAGTATTGTAATGTATAAAATATAAAGGGGTTGAATCATTGCTACTGAACACTATAGATGAGAGGAGACTGCTTTGAAACCTCAATAAAGACCAATTGTTCCTGTGTTTTGTCCCATATCAAACCAAATAAATATATTAAAACCAAAAGAATATCAAACATCAGACAGTGAAGTTCAAACTGAATGATACAACTTAATGAACTACTCCGTTGCTGCTTTTAGATTGACAAGATCGCTGCAATAGGGGTGCAACGCTGGTGCAAGATACAGCTGCCTTTCTGCCTCTGTCCAGAAGGGGGTGCTAAGGCTTCACCCACCCAGCACGTTCATAAGTTATTGTTGTAAATGTGTTGCTACCAGCTGATTTTTTATATTAAAGGCAAGGCAAGTTTATATGTATAGCACAGTTCATACACAAGGAAACTCAAATCCCTCAACAAAAACAAGAAATAAGACATTTCAATATTCACGTTATTGAAAAGATTCAAAAGATACAGGCCTTGTTTTTTTTCTGTACACAATAGCCTCTAACCCTGCTTCTATGTTGAATACTGGAGACTCTAACTCTATTTGGTTATGGATACAGGGACCTCTAACCCTATTTGTGATGTATACTGGAGAATATAACCCGGCCTAAAGAGTTCACGATGCTATTATAGTCAATCAATCATCAGAGAAAACTAAAAGCAAAATATAACAGGACAAAATCATGACTGAAGAAAAGCAAATAAACAAACTGTTTGAACAAGGGTTGAAGAACTGAAGCTCACCATACAGTCTGGTTAAGATTAAGAGATTAAGAAATCCTTTATTTGTCCCACAGCGGGGAAATGTCGGTGTTGCATCACCAGTTACAGAACAGTAGGAATGAGAAGCACACAGCACAATATAAGTGAACAATAGCTATACTAATTAAAATAAAACAAAAACTCAAACTCTAGCATCATAGAACAAGTATAAAATCTCTATCTTGAACAAAATAATAACAAAGAATTATACATTTTTTACATTTGGCAAAATAAGAGGCAAGTATAAAGTACTGTGTTTATATCACCAAATTTTAAACACAATGCGACACTTTTTTTTTTGATTGGACTAAAACAAAGCTTTAAATAGGGTTGAGTCAATGGGGCAAAAAACAGTGGGAAGTGGGAAAGCACTTTCTTACTTGATAAAAAATGTGGATCCGGATTCAGGTCACCTTCAAAATGTTATCAATTGTTCTTTCTGCTCATAACATCATGAGATATGTTGCTAGCTAAAACTCACACAATCAATTAGACAAACCCTGGTGCAAAAAAACATGTATGATGCATGTACAATTACTTCCGATGCATGTTTACTAATGTGAAGCATTAAGACGTTAATCAATATGCACTTAGCTGCCAAATACTGTACATAAATCATGCCCACTTCACTGGATTGGCCTGGACACATGCCTCCTATCTGTTCCACTCGGAGAATCAGGTCTGCTTTCAGTGCAATCTATTCCTGTACAAAAGAATCAAACAAGGCCCTTATCGGCATCAATGAAGGCAGGACTGTCTGTCAGGGGTCTGTCTGTGGAGGAAGAGACGGAAGGAGTGCACTTGGACTGAGCAGTAGTGATTTAAAAGAAACAGAATGAGCTCTGGAAAGTGCACAGTGACGAGACAAAACAGTGAAGGCTGAGGGAGGTTTGATTAAAGAGATTGAAACTTTTTTATTGTATTTATTCGCATTTATTATTTCCACCATTGGTTAAGGAGTGATCTGTGGTCGAGAAGTTGCAAACGTTAGAATAATATTTTTGCATGTATACATTCAAATTTCTCCACCGTGGGACAAAAATATATGTTTCCCATTAGGGGACTGCAGGAGGTGCAGTGGTTAGCGCTGCTGCCTGACCATGAGAAGATCCTTGGTTTGACTGGTAGTGAAGGGAGTGGAGTTTGGATTTGTCTGTGTCTTCACAACCTTTCAAGTGCTCTGGTTTACCCACAGTCTGTATATTAGGAGTACTGACCACACCTAAGGCCTTTATGTGGAAGAGGCCGATTAGAGCTAGCTCAAACTGGGAGAGGACAAGCTCTCCCAGCTCAACGTGCCCGATTCCACCTGCAGGTGGATCACTGACTTCCTGACGGACAGGAAGCAGCGAGTGCGTCTGGGGAAGAATGTCTCGGACTCTCGGATTATAAATACAGGAGCCCCACAGGGCTGTGTTCTTTCTCCCCTGCTCTTCTCCCTGTACACCAACCACTGCACCTCCAGCCACGACTCCGTGAAGCTGATCAAGTTCGCAGACGACACCACCCTCATTGGACTCATCTCCAACAAAGACGAGTCCGCCTACAGGAGGGAGGTGGACCGGCTGGGGTCCTGGTGCAGTGGTAACAACCTGGAGCTGAACGCCCAGAAGACAGTGGAGATGATTGTGGACTTCAGGAAGAGCACTGTCCCCCCGCCCCCACCCTCCGTGATGGACTCCCCCATCACCTCTGTGGAGTCCTTCCGTTTCCTGGGCACCACCATCACCCAGGACCTCAAGTGGGAGCCGACCATCAGCTCCCTCATCAAGAAGGCCCAGCAGAGGATGTACTTCCTGCGGCAGCTCAGGAAAGCCAAGCTGCCTGCACAGATGTTGGTGCAGTTCTACACGGCCATCATCGAGTCCATCCTCACCTCCTCCGTCACCGTGTGGTTCGCTGGAGCCACAGTCAGGGACAAACAGAGACTACAGCGCATTGTGCGCTCTGCAGAGGAAGTGATCGGCCGCAGCCTTCCATCGCTGCAGGACCTGTACCTCGCCGGAGCTCGAGGCCGGGCTGGTCGTATCACAGCCGACCCCTCTCACCCTGCACATGGACTATTCCAACCACTCCCCTCAGGCAGGAGACTGCGGTCCATCAGGACTAGAACCTCCCGCCACAAGAACAGTTTCTTCCCCTCTGCTGTTGGACTCTTGAACACTTCTTAACCTGTCCCCCCGCCCTTTATAAAGTCACTTTACTGCCCATCATACGTCACTTTACTTCACTGTACTGCTGTCACCTTACATTGTGTGCACCATGTGCACTTGTATATTGTAAATAGTAACTGTAATTCTATTTTAAATTTAAATTTATTCTTTAGAAGTGTTTTTTATTCTTATTTTTATTATCTCTTTCTGACTGTTGCACTGAGCCAAAGCAATTTCGAAGTCTGTGACCTCCTGTTACTTACGTGGCAATAAAAATTATTCTGATTCTGATTCTGAATTCTGCGATAGAGGGCTCCTGATTGGTCAGTTGTATGGGCTCATGGGTAGCAGAGAGCACTTAACTAATATAGTTCATAATGGAAACACACACACAAAATACAGGACATCTCTCTGATCAGAGACATGATGTGTTGGTTTTCCAAGATGGCGTCGAGTCAGCGAGATCTGTGCTAAGAGGACTATGAGCTGTTCTGGAAGTTCTGTTTGAATCCAGAGTCTTACCAACATTCTGATCCACCGGGAGCAACACTAGTTTTTAAATTGTCCTTTACATATATATCTAAAGCTATTTTCAGAAGTATTTTGTACTTTGTGATTTCTAATACTGTCTATTACAACCATCCACACATAATATGGCTTGAGTAACTCTCTCTGCAAATTGTGGAAGAATAGATATCTCTTGTGCATTGTGTAACCAACAGAACTGTATAATCTAGACACATGCATTATAATTGTATAGTTATTACCGCTGTTTGTTGTTCTGTACTCATATTGGGGCCAAAGAGCGCACCATCTCGTCGCGTATTCATTAGCCTCATTTCTGGAGATCATGTTAACAGGGCTAAGCTCCAATTTGAATCCCACTGAGGCTTCGGGGGAACGAAAAAAAAAAAAATCTTCTATATTAACAATACTGCACCAAGTCCCAATGGTTATAATG